GTTGTATACTATGTTGAAGATTGCCATGCGATCACAGGCCGGGTGGAAAGCCACATCCAGCCGGCGGTACTGTTCGTACCGAAGCATGTTAATTTCAACCTCATCCAGTTGCAGAAGCTGGTCACGGACGAGCCTTGGCGTGCCGCAGAGATCCCATATGTACACACGTGCAGTGATGCTCTTGGCAATATCGTGCGTCTTATAGTCCAGATAGTCCATCCAGCGTCCTTCCGTGCCACTGCGGCAGGTAAGCGGATTGCCAGACGAGTAGTGTGGGTCAACTTACTGGTAGGCTAGTTGAAAGCAACCAAGTTTTCTGTTGTGGTCAAACAGACGAGTATACGTCCGGTATGTGGTCTTCTGCTGTTTACCAGCCGTAGGGGACGCCGAGGTCAGGGACGATGGCTGCAGCGAGCTAGGAAGAAGGATTGTCTGCTTAGACGTGAGAATACAGCAGTGCTCATCCTGCGGCGAGAAGCCCACGGATAAAACAAACGAGCTACCCGAGAGACGAATGGTCCGATCTGAGAATAGATAGGTCGCACTGGATGAGAGCGGCAGTTCTCTTTTGACAGCCGCGGGCTGCACTAAATCCCAACGCTGCTCCTGAGGGTCCAGCAGATGGTCAATGTCGGGTTTGATGTACAGCTCACTGGAGGCTCCGCCAACTAGCCAGTTGAAGACGGAATAAACTTGAATGCAGTGCCTGTCTGGCCGAACGGGGGCCAGTCCCTTGGGTATGAACTTCATGTATCGTCCCTGGGCAGCCCATTGAGACCACGATAGCCAGCCACGGAGCTTAAAAGACACCTCGTCGAACCGTCGTTCCTGAGTTCCCGTCAGCAGAACCTGGAGTGTGCTGGTGACCGTGTCGAGAACGACAAGGCGCGACTGGGTTAGCTGTGACGACGTGGCAGGCTGGTTGAGACAGATCGCTACATATCGACCTGTCCTGCTGATGCTCAGGATCTCGCATATCTCCCCCATGAGCTTCGTGGCGCAGACGTTGGAACCATCGATATTGGCAATCTCGAAATCTGTATGGTTCCTGACCATCGCGATTCGACGCCCATCAGGGCTGAATGTGCATTGGGTCACAGTCGGTTGGGTTACGACACTTTGGAGATACCGAGGATGTTCCAGGGAAGCACCTGTTTCTACATCCACCGCTCCGAACGGTGTCTGCAGATAGAGGGTGGATTTGACTCTCCGGAAGGCAACTGCGCATCGAGAGCCCCGGAAGGAATCATACTGGGCTTGACCAACGTAGCCGCTGTAGACATTCCCGTCACTACCCGTAGTAGGTAATATCCAGGGGAGGTCGAAAAGCATTTCTTCGCCGGGTTCATCGAGGTCTCTCATCCGCCAGAGGAAAACACGGATGGTGGTTTTGCCCTGATCTCGGCGTCCCGTAGGCAGTCCTCTCACGGACTCGACCGTAGCGATAGCCATGTAATCCCAATCAGGACTAAAGGCCACCGAATGCAGTCCGAGGTGGAAGCCCTGCGGAAGCTTCCAGGATATTTCGTGGGCGAATTCGACCCTCTTGAACTGCCTCCTTGTGATCGGGCTTTCGGAATAGATAGTGTATCTAAGTGAGTTGGTTCCATTACTTTGCCTGATATCCCAGGTGAACTGGAAGCGAAGCTTTCCCGACGGATGCAGGACATATCCTTCCTCGTCGTCAACCAGGATATCGAATGTGTTTCCCTCTGCCACAGTGGGATTCGTATTGGTTCGCCGCAACGAGGCAGGGGGTGGCCCGATGTCTCCGATAAAGTCGGAGCCGAAATGCTTCTGGAAGAACTGCCCCTCGGTACTAAACTTCTTAACGGTAGATCTCAGCTCAAAGGGGGACTCTCTTAGGATGGAATCCCAGACGCGTGTGAGATCTACGAGGCCCTCCAACCACAGCTTGAGCTCGTTGATATGTTCATGCTCGAACTCCAGCCGGCGAAACCAGGCACGCAGTTGCGTCGATACGGTATGTAAATGTTCCAGGGAGAGCGACAAGGTGATTGACACCTCGAGCCAAGTCAGACCCTGACTTGATTTGGCGAAGTTGAACATCAAATCCACAAGCCTCTTTGCCGAGGCCTTCGAGACGCCGGAGTGAGCGACATGCTTCCACCAATTCAAAGCGGCGTATTCCAGTAAAGGAAATGCGTGTATTTCTTCGTGTGTGATCTTCGCCAATGTCTGTGTCCCGGAGATACGATTGCGAAACGAAAGCAGAGACAGATATGATATGCACTTCTCCGCCAGCATAGTATGAGCGTCTGTCTGCTCGATGAAGTATCGGTCGGTGCCCACAGGGACAGAGGCTTTGTTGGAAGGATCCAGAAGAAACTGTGCCACCGTTGAGTGAATTAGGCTAACAGTCCCCTTGTCGCCGATGGAGAGGAGAGGGCTGCAGGCGTCTACGATCTCACTTGTGTTGGTCGGGACGTTATCCAGGTTTAGTTCCTCGTCTCCGATGTCGATTGCAAGCGCGCAGCACAATTCGGAGACGTTCAGCGGTCGTCTGGAGCAGACAACCCAGCGAAGAAGCTCCTCGGCCAGCAGGCGATCTTCCTCCGCGTAGGAGTTTATCTTGGCTAGGATGCGACCATAGATATCCGCAACACCACTGGGCAGATTGCGGACAGCAGCGCGTAGAGTTCGATCGGTCTGCACACGAAGAGTCTGAAGGTGCTTCACCTGCATTGTTGCCCAGAGGAATCTAGCGTACGGCTGCTCGTCAGTTTCATTGACTGAATGAACGTTGCACTGAGGGCCACTTACACTCCGGAGCTACTTGAGACGAGGGCGTCGACAATCTCCTGCCGAAGGTAAGGGTCAGAAGCTCTGATCTTCTTGTCCTCGCACGCTGACTGGACGCGAGTCGTGACGACTCGTCGCACATCCGGTTGAGTGATATCCTCTGTCAACTCAAACTGCGGATAGGAATGAAAGAAGCGCCGAATATCGGGCTCAGGACGGCTGGTGACCAGCAGCTTCATGACGGGTGAAACCTGGACCAAGAGCGTGAGCAAAAGCTGCAGAGCATCACTGGCGTTCGCCGCATCGTCTAGTCCATCAATAACAACATAGACACCCGAGCAGTCGCTCGCAAGGGTCGAGAATGCCTCTCTGAGCTCTATCAGTGACGCATGCGCCGAGCGTCGTGCAAGGTAAATTTGGTTGAGAGGGTCGGGCTTGTCGGCCTGGTGCAGCAGCTGTGCTACGAGGGCTCGGAGCATTACCACTTCTGGCTGCTCAAAGACATTACTCGAATCGAAGAAGAAGAAACAGACGGCGTATCGCTTAGTTGTTTGACGAGGGCTCTGCGTGATGTGGAGGCGCCTAAGGTCCTCAACGATGGTCGCAGATAGAATGGTCTTGCCCATACCAGGACCGCCATAGATCCATAAAATGTCACGCGTCCAGTTGGCATATTGTCTCCAGGAGAGATACTTGGGATGTTTCTCAATCCAGAGAACAGTATCTTCCTGGCGTTGCCTCACCATCTGACTCAGCATACTGTCATAGTCCGGGGGATCTAACCACCGCATCATCGAATCCGATTCCAGGCCTACCAAATGAGATGTATCAGTTGTAGGGTTGCATCTGGCAAGAGTTCTGGTCTTACCTTTCAGTTGTCCCTGAACCACCATGCGGTGGACCTCCTGGTTCTTAGTCTCCTCCCGGACCTCTTCTCGTGCCCGCGACGCCTCCTTCCTGTGCGCTTTCTGCCGTTTGATTTCTTCGCGAACGTCTGTTCTCGCTTGCTCGGCGCGCTGCCTCTCAGCTGCTGCCTCTTTACGTTCATTTTCCGCGGCGACTCTCTCCTTTTCGGCAGCGTCACGAGCAATCTCCGCCAGTTCCCGCTCCTTTCTGGCATTCCTCTCCATAGCAGCAAGTGCCACTATCTGCAGCTCGTTGCGGTGGGTCTGGTAGCTCTTAAGGATTTGCGCATAGTCATGCTCAAACGGTTTGACGAGTGTCCGAAAGATGAGATCTCTTGCTACCGACACATTCTCAGTCAGTATCGTACAGTCACTCCGACGCAGTCTTGCCTACGCTTTCTCTTCAGAAACTTCACTGCTCGAGTGAAGAAGTGGACAACATCTGCGTACAGATGCAACACCGCAGCTCGGACCGTATCAGAGCTCTCGAAGATCGTTTCATATTCGGAAACAACCGGAAAGAATTGGCCAAATTCTTCAAACATTTCACCCAGCCTTTCGAGGTAGGAGGTAAATTGCAGTGCTCCCTAGGCGCTTCAACATCTGTGTGTGTTACTGGGACCGGGACGGTCCGGAGGGAACGAACCTGCAGCAGGAATTTGAGACTACCCCAGACTAAACCCGAGATGGTGGGATTCGACTGGATGAATGTGTCTATGACAGACGAAAACCGGTTGATTGATTCGAGACATGGTGATAATTTCTGCGAGAACTTGATAGACTTGGGGGACGAGGACTGAAACTTGCGGTTGGCGTCCTCCACGACCTGGAAGACTTCAGAAGCTGAGGCCGGTGCTATCCCCCTTTGGAGGCCGGCAGCTTGGGCAAACTCGCTGAGGGCATCCGTCAAAGCCGGGTCAGCACGCTTGGGCTCGACCATGATGGATTAAATTCTGCAGTTGACGACAAGGTGAACAGGAAGACGGCTGCAGTCGGGGTGGAAAATCATCATTATATAGGCCGTCGGCACTCAGCCTCATCTGCCGATCTTGACGGCCAAGAAAAAATAAAGAAAAGACCTCGTCATCTCTTGTCGCTTGAGGTTTAACAGCCTTCCGAGCTCTTTACTCGAATCGGGTGAATCTCTTTCATAAGGCAGTCTAGTCTCCCACAGTCTTGTGCAGGATTCAGCCTCGTGCCCCGCGCTAGACGCTTGACCTCGTATACGTAGTTCCGTGCCACCATTCCTCCTCCAATATAATTGATTGCACTGTCTCCTCTCTCGAGGTCTGATCTTTTCTTCCTTAAGGTAGTCTTCCAAACCCCGGCAATATGTCACAGAATCAAAACACCACACCCGCAAAGGACGAAGAACCCAAGAAGCTGGAAGATCTGGAGGATAACACGGTCCTCGAGGTCGTCACCCATAGTCTCCAGCGCGACAACCTTGCCCCGGGGGGTCTTGTGCTCCGGGAGAATTTCAGTGCTCTGGATCGACGGCATCTGCCATATCCGAAATGGCGCTGCAATGAATGTCACTTCGAATTCGCGACTGCCAAACTGCGCGACCGCCACGAGGCCAGCCGTGTGTACCATGTATTCCTTGATTCATCGGAACAGATAGAGGGCTGATTGTTCTTGTAGACTGGCATACTTCCGGTGGAGAGTCACTAGGCATGTCGTTCATGGGGTATCAAGCTCTCCTAGACCGTGCGTGGATTTCCTGCATGTTCCTCATTTTGCGCCGGGCTAATGAGAGGATATAGGGATTCCGGAACCCTCCCGGCAGCTGGTTTTTGAAGAGTTCATCAACTCGCCTCGAGACTACAAGCACGATGGCCTGCCCCCGGCGCCTGATATCTATCGGGTTCCGTATGTCGGGACCGAGGAGGCAAGCACCTTGAAATCGACCAAGCGATGATGAGACAGATGGGAGAAATTTGTGGCTATTTGCCGGTTCGTTCGGTGATGCTCAATGGGTTCCCTCGCCTTATGTGGATCTTTTTCCTGCCCATGATCTTGGAACCTCCGCCGGTAACACCGTGGCACCGGACATTCGCCATGGCCGCACCTTGAATAGCGGACCCAGATGTCCTTGCTCGACCATCGATCAATCACATCTCGACTTGGGAACGTAACAATGTCAAGAGCGCGAGCGTCCCGTCATCCAGCCAACCAGCGATGGTCCTTGCAATGGCTGTTTTGGCGCATAACAGGACAATATGCTTCCTTCCTGTTCGGGTCTCCATGGCTGTTCTTTCCGTAAACACATACGGATAAGGAGGTATTGTATATAGCTAAATGAAAAGATGGATTCCTTTAGTTCAGCCTAGTAGATATCCATTTTGAACGAAGAAGAAGTTATTGATTTCGACATGGCCGAAACTCTCCTGCCTGCCTTCAATGGCACCATCGACCTGCGGTCCGCTTACTCGTTCACACAAAACCAAGTATGTTATTCTGAAATCGATAGACAGTTTGCCGTAATAGTGACGATAGTATCCTCCAAGGTACTTTTGGGATGGGCTGGAGTGCGGAGTATTCGAGGTCGTTAAACCGAAGGGTTTACATGAAATACTCACAGTGTTGAAGCAAAAGGGGGGGAAAGGATTGAAATGCCGGGAGCTGCACCAAATTCGCCAATGGGTGTAATCTTTCCTTCATACCCTTCAATTGAGATGCTATAGCATCTGTTGCTGCAATAAAGCCTACGTTCTGATACTTCATTATGTAGGGGCTTTGCATGATGGAGAGTACTTTTAACTGGAGAACTGTTGCACAAGTTTATGGACAAGCCCTTGATCCCTCTGTTAGAATATGCATCTTATGACCCTTTAATCACGCTGGAGCCCCAGCTGACTCCGTGGACGCAGCAAAATTTCCCTCATTCCCGCCGTAAAGCCTCATAAGTGCCTTGCAGTTAACACATGGATCCCAGACGCTTCGCCAGACAGAACTGGATAGCCCGTCCTCATATTGCTGGGCTTCAAGGAATCCGTTACTCAGTGCTACGTCGTGTACGTCTTTATTTTCTTGTTGCCGGTTCCTGCACAGTTGATTAGTTATATCTCCTGCATATTGGATGCTTAACAAGTGGAGGTAATACTTTAGGGTCGTTAAAAACGGGTACGTCTCTCCGAATATACTCCCCTCTGCGACCTCTTTGCAAGATTGACGGGGATAATTATACTCCCAGCCCGCCATCATGAAAGGCTCATCGTTCAAGAGCCGGAATCGGGCATGTTCATGCATGCCTCCATGTGCCCGTGACGCGCATATCCGAATAATGACCGCCTTGCGATGCACCAAGAAAAAGCTCGCCGGCAGTATTCCAGGTGCACTGGAATACCCAGGGGCGCGGCGGCTGTGTTATCGCGGCGCACCACTTTCCATAAACCGCTACCAGCGGCAAGAAAAAGTTCCTCTTCGTCGCACCAGCTGGCGCTGGGCCTAAAGTTGATAGGAAGAGGCCCAGCAGGTCAATGGGGCTCCAGAACGATAGCACGCTATGCCATTTTCTCTCCACCTTGAATCTGGCCACTTGGACCGGCTCCTTTCTCTCTGGCCACGCCGGATTCTCGATTCTTCTAATGTGCTGCTCTGGCACGGGTTCCAGATAATCTGGACCTGATGGAAGGCTATAGACCACCAGCTGGTTAGATTCTCTCTATATCACCTCCGTAACACTCAATTCTTACCTTAGCCGCACAATTTCCGTTGTGCTCAGTTCTTCTATTTGTCCCCCTCCGATTGCATAAGCTCTGGGGTTTCTCATCACTTTGATCTTCCCCCGATTCCGGTGTCTGGCACATTAATGGCTGCGGATCCTTCAGTCCGTATGCCCTCCCCATCATATAACCTTCGGCGTTGGGATTGCCCCAGGTATACGCGTCGTGGACCTGGCTTTTTTCGATGGTCTAGCCTTCAGGGACTAGGTCTTCTGGTACGGTAATCTGGAGTTTCTATTAGATACCTTTCGAGGTCGTATGACGCAAAATATACTTACTTGAGAAGTCATTTTGAAAATGCTGATGGTTGATGCTTGATGACGTGAGTTGAAAGAGGGAAGAAGTTTGGGTATACCGTGTATCCTTCCCAATGTGGTCAGTCCCGTGACCAGGACGGAAACACCACGATTGTGAATGCCAGACTTATGTTGCACTTTCCATATGTAAGTACTGGCTTCTGCTATTTGCAGAAAAGAGCTGGTAACTATTGCTTGTGGACCTGAAAGATGAATCTATAGATTAGAAGACGGCCAGCAGTCAATCTACTATCTCACTAGCTAGATCTATTAGACGTACCTCTTCACTGTTACTGCAGGGGTCGTCTTGGAAGCACTGTACAATTTTTTACTTTATTAAATTCCTTTCGACCGTTCTGTCGATCCTTTCGGCAGATTCCAGAGACAGTAAGGTTTGCATCCAAGACCCTCTGCGTCATTATATGTACCCCGGACTGTTAACCTCCGAGAAGGATCAACGTTCATTTGTGGAATCCTTCAGTCCCTGATATCGCTACAGCTCAAATGCTGCTGATGAATGGCAGCATGACAACTTGCTGCTAACTGACTTTAATTCTCCCGTTGGTGGAAACACTGCAGTTGCATTGGTTTATCCCGAGTCACATCCCAGATTCAAATATAAGATGCTGTGTAGTCCACGCAAAACGACATTCATCTACCAGTATAGTCCCCAAAGATCACAATGCGTCTTCCTCTCCTATCATTCTTCATCCTCCCCCTCTATGCCCTGCCCACCCCCGGCCACTCCCCCAAACCACCCTTCTTCCTCTTAGCCGGCGACAGCACAACCGCCAAACAATCCTCCAACGGCGGCGGCTGGGGCGACGGATTCCTCAACACGACCCTCTTCCACGGCGCCAGCGGCCTCAACTACGGCCACAACGGCGCCACGACCGTCAGCTTCCGCGCCGGAGGGGACTGGGAGACGGTTCTAAGCAAAGTAGCCGAGTACAAGGACCGCTACACGCCTTTCGTGACAATCCAGTTCGGACACAACGACCAGAAACCCGCCGTCAACATCTCCCTCGCCCAGTACACACGCAACCTCGAGCGATTGGTCTGCGAGGCGCGCAATGCAGGTGCGACGCCCATCCTGGTGACCCCGCTTTCACGCCGGAATTACGAGACTTCCAACGTCACCGGCGAGCCTACTATCATATTGAGTCTGGCCGACCAGCGCGCGGCGACTATTGCGGCGGCGAAGAATTCGCGTGCGGCGTACGTCGATCTGAATGGTGCGAGTACGCGGTATCTGAATCGAATTGGACCCGAGAAGGCGTACATGTATAACCTCAATCCGGAGGACCGGACGCACCTGAATGTGGAGGGCAGTATCGTGTTCGGGGGAATGGTGGCCGAGTTGATCGACGGGGTTTTTGCGGGGTTGAAAAAGGCGGGGTATGTCAGGGTAAATCCGAGACTGAAGAGGGCGTTGGATCAGGGCGTGTATTATTGGCCAGATTCTGTTGATGAGGACTAGCTGTAGTGTTTATTAATGTTGATGGTTAGATATCAACGCAGATAGCGTCCCGTCTCTTTTCGTCGCGGAGTCCTCCAATTGCAGCGGCGTTCACCATCACAGTCCTTTCGCATGGATCGCTCGGGCGTAGAAGCCGTAGAAATGCATGCCACAGTAACAGGATCATACTTATCCATCTTGCCTCATTATCCATGATGCTCTCGTACGCTCGTTGAAATTCATCCCAGCAGAGAGTTTCCTTCCCATACGCCCCATGGACATGACCGAACACATGCAGCAAAGACTTTTGTTTGGCTGACCATAACCAGTCCCGAAGGAATTTACAGCCATACCGTCCCAAATCTAAATGTGTTTTCGGCGGGCCGTGTGTAACCAGTTATATCAACGTCCTCAGGCATCCGTATCTCGTCCCAGATATTCTCATTACGCGGATACTGGAAAGCCCAGTTCCCGTGTCGCGGGGTGTACGGGGACCCAAACACCTTGAGGCGTCCGTAACCAAAGTCGAGGATTGTCGATGAGTTCTCCAGATACCGGATTGATTTCCAGTCGACTGCCTCATTGCCACCAGGTGTTTTAGCTTGTGCTTTCGGATCCAGACACAGCTCGTGATTCCCCGCGATCGCTACCTTGAAGCGATGGGGCTGGCGATCGAGCCATTCGATCTGTGCTTCTAGCTCGACTTGAGTCCCGGACTGGGTGAGATCGCCTGCGTGGATGAGGAGGTCTCCCTCTGGCAGTTGAGGCTGGGTGTTGTGAGTGTCTGAGATGCAAACCACGCGGATGGTTGGGCCATCATGATCAGTGGGCATCGGGGCGGGCGTCTGAGCGAATCGGGTGTAAATAAGTTCCGCAAAAACAGGCACGGGGCCCTGCGCAAGCAGCTCCATATGCTTTCTTGCTCTGGACGGTGCAGGAGAGCGTCTAAGCCTGATGCACTGAAGGCCATAGCTCTTCTAAAGAGATGTTTGTGTTCTAAAGGACAGTATATGTAATCTCTCAGCATGCTTGTAGACGGTAAAGTGTTTACTGAACTGAAGTCAAAAAACTCTCAGTCGAGGAACATCCCTATCCCTAAGTAGGATTAATTGAATAAGTGCCTGGAAATAAGCAATGTATCATTTTGGCCTATTTGCTTGATGATGAGACAGTGTTCTCCTGATGATTTTCGTGATGTGTCCTGCTGGCTGGTTTACCTGATTGGGCAAGTCTGTGTAGTTGGGCCACCTGCCTATTTGAGCATAGGTACTACATATATAGCGTGGTCAATCTTCCAGTGAGAAGAAGATGTTTACGCTCTTCAACTTCATACACCATGGAGCCCCTCGAAGTAGAGACACCTTATCCTCAAACCCCTAGACTTTATCTCAAACTCGTCAGCGCCGGTTTCTCTTTCTTTGTAGCCGGCATCAACGATGGCAGTCTTGGATCTCTGATCCCTTATATCCGTCAAGGGTATCAGATCGACACCAACCTGGTCGCTGTAGTGTACGTTCTCGTCTCATCCTCAAATATTCTTAATAACAGTCAACAGATATGGCACAACATTCTGCGGCTGGCTTGTCGCCGCGCTCTCCAACAGCCATCTCTGCCAGTACCTTGATCTGGGTGTTCTCCTGGTCCTAGGGGCGGTTCTCCAAGTTCTCGCCCACGCCTTGCGGACATGGCTTTCTCCGTTTCCATTGTTCGCGGTGACTTTCTTCTTTGCGAGTCTCGGCCAGGCATATCAAGATACACACGCCAACACGTTTGTTGCATCTGTCAAAGCGGCGCATCGATGGCTGGGGTTTATTCATGCCATGTACATGGCCGGGTGTCTGGCGGGTCCGTTTGTCTCGACTGCCGTGGCTTCGGCGGGTGTGCATTCCCGGTGGAACCTGTTCTACGCTGCGCCGTTGGGACTGGGTGTGGTCAACCTGGTTCTGGTGGTTGTTGCATTTAGCGATTCGTTGAGGATGACGCAGCAGTTTGGTCAATCTCCTCCGGAGTCAAGACAAGGGGGTCTGCAGGAGATGAAGCAGACTCTTTGCACGCCGAGTGTGTGGTTTTTGAGTCTGTATTTCTTCTTCTTCCTGGGCGCTGCCATTACCGCTGGTGGTATGTCATGTTCCCTGCGTCCGAGATAATACTGACCGAATAGGATGGATTGTGGAGTACCTCGTCGATGTGCGAGACGGTGATCTCAAGGATATGGGCTATGTTCCTGCTGGCTTTTATGGAGGAGCCTTCCTTGGTCGACTCATTTTGGCTGAGCCAACCTACCGCTGGGGGGAGCGACGCATGATCTTCATCTATGTAGTACTGTGTGTTGGTCTGCAGCTAATATTCTGGCTGTACGTGTTTATTCAGAAATGATGGCCTTTGCTGATCAGATAGGGTGCCGAATATCATCACGGAAGCAGTAGCCATCAGTCTTTTTGGGTTCTTTTCCGGTCCTTTTTTTGCCACGGGCATATCTGTTGCGTCCAAGATCTTCTCTGCGGAGATTCGCTCGTCTGCACTAGGTATTTGTATCCTCATTCGTGCAGAGTCTCGCTGACCGAACAGCTCTCGTGTTCGTGCTCGGCCAGGTGGGAGGATCGATCTTTCCAGCCATCACTGGCATTCTGGCAACTCATGCTGGCGTCAAAGTCTTGCAGCCGATTCTGGTGGGGTTGCTGGGTGCCACAGGGGTTTCCTGGTTGATGGTTCCAAGGGTGAGACTTCACAATGAGTAGCCAGATGCATGATTTGGCGTATGTAAATAGCAGTCCAAGTATTTAGAAGAGCATGGAATGGTGGTTCAGGTGGTCAGATAAAGACAGACCAGCTACATAGTGGGTGCGAAGGCACGGATACTTCTGGACGCGTTACTATATAGATTACTAGATGGCTGCGTCAGTACCTTAGGATACAGCCAAGAGTACTAATAAAACTATTAGTGCTCTGGTTCGTACTTTACAGTAACTTATTATACACTGAAGCCTCAGACACTCTATACCGCAACACAGCCAAGTGGGTGTTGTTTTTGACAGAATCTCATAGGGAATAACGTGGTTTTGGGTACGGACCAAGAAACAGAGTGTGAGTGTCTGGGAAACCAAACCCCAATATCTTCAGGGGTATTGGTATTCCACTAGTTCCCGGGCAGAGGCGCTAGAGTCCGTCATAATTAACTCACATGCAACAGCTTCCCAAGCAAAGGCAGTGGAGCAGCAACGTGATGTGAAGCCGCTAGAGAAGTGAATACGAACTGTCCTCATCCCCTGGGTCGTTCAGATTCAACCATTTCCTAATGTCTTGAATGTGATGCGACCTCGAAATCTCGACTAGCCATGCCGCAAGACCTTTCAGCAATCCCCCTCGATATTCTCCTTGAGATCTGTGAGAACCTCTCCCTGGGAGATCTCGCGAGGTTCGCCCTTACGTCGAAATTCTTCGCTGCGGTGGGAACACCACGGCTATACGACCAATTGTTTTTCCATCGAATAGCCAGGAAACACAACATCGCCAAGCTGAAATCAGACTTTGTTCTCAATTATGTCGCTGCCAATTCAAGTAAACTGCTCAGGTATCGGGCTCCCAACGGCCGGTCTGTGCTCCACTATATTGCTGCCGCTGGGAACGAGGTCCTGCTGGCGGTTTTCCTGAAATTGGGCGCAAATATCTCTGTGAGATGTGATCAGGGCGAGACGGCACTGCATGTTGCTCTTGAGAAGGGCCAAGACGCTATAGCCGTGCAGCTTCTAGAGGCTGGTGCAGATGTTTTGACACCAGCTTGCCGTAGACCTACGCTCGCCTTTCTCCACAACGATCTCTCCAGGTCTACCGCTGAGAAAGCGATAAGGGCCATCCTGGCCGCTGGAGGAGATATTTCCGCTTGCGGGCCGGGTGGTCACACTGCCTTACATTATGCAAGCCGTTCAGGGCACGACCATATAGTCAAAGTCCTTCTGGAAAAGGGTGCAGACGCGCTTGCCACAAATAAATACGGCCACATCCCTTTGGTTTCGGCCGTCTTACATCGCAGGGTCGAGGTTAGTAGGATTCTCCTGGATGCAATGACGCGGGACCCGCGCGGCTACGACCTCAATGCACCCCTTGCTTCTCTGAAGGATATCCCATCTTCCTGGGTTCCAGAAGGTCGTGGGTATTACTTCGAAACAGGCTATACACTCTTACATTGTGCAGTCTCCATATTTCACGCACCTACAGTGCAGCTGCTTCTTGATTTCGGAGCAGACCCTCTCGCGGAAAGCAACCCCCTCAGTCGGCCTGGCCGCACCCCGTTCGACATCGCTGTGATGGGTAGATGCCCGGAGCTGGTGGTTCTCATTGCGGGAATGAAAAATCCACCAGTGTTCTGGAAATCAAACGGTTATATTCAGTCCGGTTTTGAAACATGTGTTCATGAATCGTATCCTGGCACGGTCCGGACGCTCGTGGACCTCTACAAGCAGGGAAAAGTCGACCTTGATATTGCTGCCGCGACGCCGCGGATGCTGTCCGCTTGCACGTACTACGGCAGCCATGTTATGGACAAGGACGTCAATGATTCGATTATCAGTTGTCTTTCGGCGGGTGTAGACGTTAACGCACAAGATGAGGATGGTAAAACAGCTCTCCATTTGCTCTGCGAGCCTGGTGACTCAGAGCATAACGAGGCGAAAATACGATTAATAGAGTACTTCCTGAGTCGCGGCGCCGACTGGACAATTCGAGATAAGCATGGGAATACTGCTCTCCATGCAGCCGCAGACAATGGGGACTTTGAGTATGATGCGGTGGTCCGCCATATCATCCAGGTAGCCACAGAGCGGCGCAAAACCGAAATCTTAGCCTCTCCAAACAACTTCGGGAAAACTCCGCTGCATTTATACTTGGCGGGAGCCGAGACAACTGGTCAAAGGAACCAGAAGATTATCAAGTTACTTCTTGACAATGGTTGTGACGTTAATGTGGCTGATAGTGTGAACAGACAGTTGCCTGCTGCTGACCAATGCTGCTGACATCCAGACTGCGGTGGAATTTCTTGTCAGGCTTGGGTTGGATTTATACATGCTTAGCTAGGATGGAGATGCCTTGTCATTTATAGTGAAGAATGGATATGGCTGATGGGGTGGCCTAATTATTGCCATAGATCTCTATCATTATGTTATAACTTCATTATGAGAATGTTCATTTATTAATAAGAGGAATGTGATCCACTTAATCAAGTGTTGCTAGTGACTATTTATCCTGTTATAATGGGACAGTCACCATCCATATCATCATTGATTGAGGTAGTTGGTGATAGCTGTGAATATGTAATCTGTCAATCTATGTTCAGCGGTAGTTACTATAGAATGCTCTTAAAAAAATGACTGACTTTGATTAGATATACAGGCACAGGTACAGCTACTTAATAACAACAGTCATCTTCTTCCACCACATATCCCTAACCTCAGGCTGCCTCTCTATAGCAACAATCACTGCCAACCTAGTCTGTATATATCAACCTCCTCACTGCGCCACACCCCTGGAGTATACTAGAAGATTAGTCAGTGGCTAAAATATAGCAGTAAAAAGTACCGGAATCCTAATATATACTATGAAAAAGTTACTTATAGACCACTCATATATAAAAGGGTGTGATGAGGCTGACAACGCTGACTGTAACTCTCGAAGTCGTGTGATACACGCAGGCTACACCTGGCATTCTGCGTTTGCTTAGGGTTGCTCTTCTCCCATCAATTGGTGCTGACCTCGGCCACTCTGGAAGTGTTAGTACTCGCCATCAGCAGTAACTCGCAATCTGTTCTGAAGTGCAAGGTAAATCTTTCAGCAAAGTAGAGTCAATAACCTCCGGCAACTCTTTGTATGGTTAAGTAAACAAAACAACCTTTCTATCATATACATAGAATTACATCCACAAGAACGAAAGAGAGCCCTGAAATCTCTGACCAATACCGGGTGACGTTCTCCCCAGTGAGACCTATTACGATGCACAGTTCTCGGCATGTCGAATGCAGCGCCCTAGCACAGTTAGTAAATAACCACGCCCATGATTGATTCAGAATCCAAACCTTAGCAAGCAGGGATGTCCTTGATATTGCACGAAGTAAAGATTAGATTCTTAGCATTGATGGCATAATTCGGAGTGATCTCAAACCACGAGCTATTGACCACAAGTTAGCATTCGATAGTGACAGTCGTTCAAACAGAAAAAATGCGTACTGGCTCCAATCACCACCCTGTAAGAAGCACTTAACATTCTTCCAGCCTTCGTGTTTGAAACGACACTTGACTCTGCGTGCCTCTAGGGCTGCGGGAGTGTCCCCTTCGATATCGGCGACGGGCATCGCAGTAGCTGAGAGGGAGAGTAAGAGAGCGACGGCGACGGAAGTGAGCTTCATTTTTGCGATAGAAAAATGGAATCAAAGGAGTGACAATCTTCTTGAAAGGAATGACTGATGTATGGGAGGGTACCGATTGTGCTGGGTGGCTGCTTTAAATACTTCAGTAGGGAGCTGTCTATACGAGGATGTGCAATGATCCTTCCTTCGTATCTCTTGCTGATCCTTGCGCGTTTGGGGCTATTCAGAAAGCTGCTTTGTAGGTCCTTGCAATATTAGGAAAGGTATGCGAGGTGGGCGGTACATGTTGGTTATTTTTGGTCAACGCCATTTCTTAGGATTGAATGGCTGAATGGGGCTGAATTTTAGATATCCTTCTAAGGTCCAAATTTGGTAGACTGGGGATTCTGATGCCATAGATTAGATCTCGTATTCCTTACCCGAAGCACGACAGCTTATGTGTCAATTAGTGTCCTCGTCGGCTCGATGCGACTACCTAACTTTACCGTGGAGGGAACGAAAAATATAGGGAAACTAACAGCGCGAATTTCGACTCGAAGTGCGGTCGACTAATAATGAATTTAAGTATCAGTAGAAATGAGAAACCGCACCTTAAGTCCCTAGATTAGGCTTTCAGGGTGGATGAAAAATAATCCAGGGAGTGAACAGTCTGCGAGAACGGAGGTTGGTTATAGGATGATTATGGACAACTGGGTGGTATTTTACAGCATGTGTGGAGAGTTGATTTACATGGGTCTGATGTGGGTCGATTTACTTCTCATTGAGGACATACGAAGACTATGGATATTAACGCCCAAGGATCCGGTTTGCTTTGTCCAAGACAAATTGCTTCCGCTTGTTCCAAGGCTTTATCATTCAAATCCCACTTGCTGGACCGAAAGCGCGCAAGCCAAGGTGACTTGTAGACTTCCATGGGTCGGTCTCTGTGGTGCGTCCGATGTGTTCACTTATAACAGGGGCAGGTCTCTGGTGTAATAGGCGCGGCAAGGTGAGGAGGGGAAGAGGGACATACATTACGCATTTAGAAAAGCTTTTGAGGCCTTAGCATTCCCTTCCTACAAGGGTTTCGAGGGATGTGCGAGAGTCCTTGAGAAGGGGTGAACACCGCTGCCTTAAGTTGATGTCACGGTATGCCAGGGCCCAAGAGCAGGGATTTCCGTAGGCAGCAGACCAAGAATGTGCTCGTTTCCAGATAAATGGGTACTTGCGGGAGTAACCCGTGAACATCTCTCGGAAGATTTAACCAAGCGAGAAACGAATTCGCTTTATTTATTTTCTAAGGCTCTGTTCTAGCAAAATAGCCAAGGCTCCTTTGGGTTTCCCATTGCACACTGAGCGATGGGATTTAGTGCCATCTCCTGACCCGTTCTATCTCATATTGTCGCTCCGAATAGTCGGCCCAATCGTTTCCAGATGGACAAGGCAAATCAGAAATCTTGCGTGCAAAAAAAGATACCCCCTGACCCACGCCGGGGAAATCCGCCACTCCTTCGAAGCTAGCGAAGTTTTTATCCTTGAAGTTGATAGTGCCTTTGCTTGCCTGGAAGTGGATCACGCCTTCTCCCATCTCGCGGCATTTGAGCTTGAGCAGAAATTTGCGGGCCTGATCTTGCCCTGCCTTATACTTCTTCGGCCTCGTCATAGGTTTAGAAGCCGGTGGATTTCTCTTAGCGCCTAGCTTGACGGTCCTCTTGGTTGGAACGCTATCCTCGTCATCAGTCTCCTCTTCGGATCCCTCTTCATCCATAGAATCGTTCCAGTCGGATTCATCGTCGCGATCGGCTTGAGCGCAGTATTCATCCAGGGCAAACTTCTCGGAACAGATAATCATAACCCCTTCAAGAATTCCGAAATCAAAGTCGGCTTTGAAAACACCAGGTGTATCGGTCCGATGGATGTCAAGGCTGAGATCACCTGCCATGTCTGGGTACTCCCTCTCAATAGTCTCACTGTCAACAATGTAGGTGCCGACGGGGGTGACATCCTCTGTCTGCTGGCTAAGGCTGTTGAGATAGTCCATATGTATTTGTTCTCGCTCATTCTCCCGCTCGTCTTCCTCGTCCTGTATTCGCCTTGCCTCCTCGACAGGGCTGATTGGCTGCCTTCTCCACGGCTGCTCTATCCCAACCCATGAAAATCACCTGAGCCTTCGGTCCAAAGGCTCTCATATGGTGCAGACCAGTGATCTTGCTGGCAGCTTCAATCATCTGCCCGGAACGATATTGGCTGTGTCGATCAAGGGGTATGCCAATGACAGTGGTCGTTTTTGTACGATCAGGTTGATCAGCAGATAAGAAATACTTTTGCATGACCCAGTCAGGGTGGGAAGAGAGTTGCTCGGGGGAACGTTCGCTGATCCAATCTGCATGCATCTGCTTTTGCAGCTTCATAATGTGATCAGGGACCTGATCGCACTTCCCAGCTTGGAGGGCTGCCTTCATTAATGCAGTTCCCTTGCCAGTGAATTCACGTTCTTCGAATTGCACCCCATAGTGTTTCAACTGATGACGGACGAAGTCGGGGTTATCTCTTAATGCCTTCTGCCCTTCGCGTGACAGCTTTGGCAAAAACATGCTCCGAAGTTGAGAACCTGCGATTCGATCCATACGACCCGGGTCTGTCATGAAGCGGCCAAAGGCTGAGATGAACCCATCGCGACGAATATCATTGTAGTGGTGCGCAGACATCGTGATCGGCAAGCTGAGCTCAGAGGAGGGCGAGAGAAACAGCGCGATCTGGAAGCGAGAGACCACTAGAAGGAGAGGAGCGAATGCAGATGAGTGTGTACTACCTCCAGGGTTGGTCTACCTAGTGCAACCGGGCAAATAAGCCCGGCGCACGTGATCTTTTCGGGCCTGACAATCTAGGCATTAATCTGTATGAGAGTATTTACTTCCCGATCAATCTACATCTCTCTTCTCCATCTGATACTGAATATACATTCTTTGCTCGCTTCAATCCGTTCTTTCCGGCCACAATATCTTAGCGGAAGTCTTGTGGCCCTGCGATGCATAAGACCAATCTGGGCGTTCTTTGTTCTTTGTTTACACGCCACAGAGCACGCCGCAGTCATGGTCAACCAAGAAATTACTTCTCTGGACAGCAGGTCCCTGGGTTCGTCGGCTGCAGAAGGTCCTCAGTATAGCTTGGTGCAAAGGGTCGTAAGTGGCCAGTCATGTCTAATATTGGCTAATCTGCGTTTACTATTTGAGGCAACAAAGGAAGTATATAGGGTTGGAATTTGCAGCCCTACAATTTTTATTAGTATAGCGGGATTAACGTTTGTTAAGTACATGATTTTCACCCAAAAATTGCTGTCCCTGAGTAATAAGAATGACTCATATCGGAGACCACCATGGGAAGGAATACTGGGAGAGAGATCAGGAGAGGCCACAGCCCACGCCTGTAGCAAGGCCCTCCAGTAACATGCATCAGCAGCTGGTGTCAGATCTTGTTCCTGAAACATATTCACATTATTACTTGCAATCAGCTGAGCTTTAGCAGGATTATCCAGAAGCTCCTGTATCTTCTGCGGCAAGTCTGAGAAGTCTCTTTCCACCTGGACAAAGTTCTGCTGTGGCCCCAAGGCAACAAGGAGATAGTGATGATGCTGGATGTACTGCAGTTCATGAACAATAACAACCGACTCACAAGCCTGGCGATACTTAAGCAACGCGGAATAGGACCGCCCTTCTACATAAGCGATGAACTTCTAATCACAGTGCTCCTCCATGCTGAGAAAGTTGGCCTTGTTGCATTACCACGGGGCCGCCTATGGGGTGTAATCCGGACATGCTTGCTGGGTGGCTGACGAGCATCAAGGCGCTGGTTAATTGTCCGGTGGCGACGATGACTAGCTCGGTGTATGCTACTACGAGTACTGTGACGGAGATGTTGACGATGACGATACCATAGTTGGATCGGTTAATTCGTCTAGTAAGCTAGCTAAATCGATGGTTCTCTTTAACTTTCATATGTTCATTGCATCTGTAGTCTTCCATTGGCGGCTCTCGTCATCCTTTACGATGCGGACCTGGTCATCATTACACATGGACTACTCCAGAAGACGGCACGTCAGCGTGCAAGCCATGTCTCATGCATTCTAGTTACACAGCACTAGACGGCTGTGCCTGCCATGTGGTTGCTCCTGTATCATGGAAGCTAGATCGGCACAAAAGGCTTCCCCTCAATCCTCTCCACCTTCTCAACAGCCCGTCTGTACCCCTGCTCATTCTGAATCACCCCCGCATAAGCATCCAACCGCGGATACTCCCCCCGCGGGATGATAGAAAGATTCAGCGCCGCAATAACCGGAATACTCATCTGGATATCCGCAGCCGTCAACCGCGAACCACACAGAAACGGCCCTTCCTCCGGGGCCGACGCCAGCTGGTCCTCGAGGAAGCGGAAATGGGTGCGGAGTTCTTGATCCAGGAACTCGGCGCTGACTTTGCCGGTGATGAAGCCGGTGATGGGTTTGATGAAGAAGGGGACGGGAGCGTCTTTGACTGCTATTGTTCCTGCATTAGCCAGGGACATGATGGGATGAGGAGAGGAAATACCATTCATGATGAGCTGCACCTGGATCGGAGACATGAGACTTCCCTCTGCGTAGTGCATAAAGTACCGATAGCGCATCCAGGCGTCTGTTTCGCCGCCTACCTGGCCCTCGCGCCCGGGTTTATAGCGCTGTGGAACGAGGTGGGTGTTCGGTCCACCGAAATGGTCGAGGAAGTACTCGATGATGGCGGCCGACTCGACAAGGACCATGGGGGAGGCATCCGGTGGTTGGACCGAGACGATGGGTGATTTCCCCAGTGGATGGATCTGTTTTAGCTCCGGGGGAGCGATGCCGTTGGGACCGCGTTTGTAGGTCTTGATGTCGTAGGAGAGATTCAGTTCTTCCATGAGCCACATTATGCGCTGGGCGCGGGATTTCTCCAGCCTGCTAGAGTGAGCTTGAGAGCGGGCGAACTGGGAGAGAGGGTTACCAGTGCAGGATTATTTTGGCGCCTCGGTTCGCATTCATCGTGGCGTAATAAATAAAATATTATAGTATAAGATGACGATAGTAAAGTGGAAAGAACTTTAGCTGTCTGCTTTCTTTGTCTGCCGGTTACGACATGCAATAAAGAGTTATTATAGCGGTGGATGTATGGACAAGATTCTAGGGCCTATACAGAGACTGAAATAATATTTCATCTATCAGACTCAGTGGCTGGTCGGTATATATATAGAAAACATAGCCTCTATTTCAGTACAGTACTACTCAATTAAAGGCAACAGTTCCAGTCTCACGTCAGCAGCAAAGACCACCCCGCAGGAGAAAATGAGATGATATAATATGTACATATATGTTCATGGCACCTAGTTGAGCATGATAGCAACTCAGAATCGGCTGATATAAGCACATCTTTGCCGATGTTGTCGGCAAGTGTGTCACTGGAGAACCCTATTTGATATCCTTCCTTTACCAGAGAGGTGTCTAAATGCTGCCGTGTTACCTGACAGACTTGAAGATCCCAGGCTTGAGAATTCCGGGTTATATTTCATTTACTCCGACCCGTGACAGAAGTTCTGGAGAGAGAGTAATGATTTAAGTAGAGAATGGCTTATATATGGCTGAATTGATAGAGGATAATTTGTCCTCTGAATGCGCTCGCCACCGAAAGACCTGCTGGCGTGCCGCTGAATGTCCAGACCGATATCTCGGTTTTCGTTGGACGAGGCATGCTTATTGAGTCTCAGGGACCTACCTGGCTCTACGGCACAGCCAGCGAGCATGCGCAAATGTACCAGTACCAGCTTCTGAATGCGGCAAATATCTACATGGGTCATTTGCAGACAGAGACGCCGTACTACCAGCCCAAGCCCAATGCCTCTCGCCCTACACACCGGGCAACTTTCCCTCGGATCCAACTTACATGGACTGCTCGGATGACCTCTGTCAGGACCCATCACACCCAGTCCAACATCTGGCGGCGGCGGTACCGGCACCGGCACCGGCACTGTCACCACAATTACAAAGGTAGTCATCGAGCCGAGAGACTAACCACCACATACCCCGCGAGCCTGGGCGTGGTAGGCATGGCAGCCGCCTGGAGGATGGGATACCGCAACTTCGTAGTCAGCGACTACGACCTCGACTTCTACAGCATCTCCGAGACGAAGAATATCTGCCAAGTGAAATTCTCGCCGGAGTATGGGGCCGCTAGGCCGCGGCCGAAGACATGGTCTGATATCCTGCAGAGTGTCACCTTCTTCTCGGACCTTGATGTGCTATCGACGAAGTATACGAACTGTATATATACGAATGCGGCGGCGCCGAGCCCGGGTGATGGTGGGACGGTCTCGTGTGATGGTTTGACGCTGCCATGTTATGTCTACACGGGGCCGCCCATGGGGTGTAATCCGGACATGTTCTTTGGGTGGCTGACGAGTGTTAAGCCGCTGGTTAATTGTCCGGTGGCGACAATGACGAGCTCCGTGTATACCAAGACCACTGCCGTGACGGAGACTCTGGTGACGACCATACCATAGTTTGGATTCAGCTGCTTCTTCTAGTATTTCTAGCTCCAATACCAGTTCTTTCAACACTTTCATCTGTTCATTCGCACATGTAATCTTCCGCAGTGGCAGCGAGATAATGACTGCTTTCTTTGGCCACGGGAACGGTCGTGACCATTGCTGAGAAAACCAAGCAAGCCGAAATAGTCCGCTCGTTTACCCTTTGTGTGCCGGTCATGTCACTCATGTGCACTGTGAATACGAAGTTTTGAGTCACTTTCCGATACGAACTGGAGCGGCTCGCCCCGAAAATAATCCCGACATGCCCGAGTCGATTCCGCCCCCGTCCGACTCACAGAGCATATAACAGGCTTGAGAAGTAACAAGGCAAACCTGACCAGGACCACCAGGAACTGATATATCTGCATGCAAGCATGTTCTTGTCTGAACCTTGGCGAGTAGGTCTGACCAGCCTCGCAATTGGTCTTAACAGCTTCACGGTGATTGTCCACAGTTACTATGGTTTTACCTCAGCCCTACCGCTGTTGGCTTCTCACAAAAAACCATTGTATGATGTCATAGGGGTCTGTTTTATCCATCTAATGCTCCTTCCTGTTATGTCCAGTAAGTACAAAATTGAGTATATCCATTGAGGGTTGCCTTCATTTGCTATATAAGGAATGGATAATACTGGATGGACGTAGGCATTCTGCAGCTGAAATGGCTGCAATATGGCCTGGATAGTCCCTATGATAACCCATTGGTCACTTGTTATGTCCTTGGGCATCTGGGATTTGGCGGCTGGTACTATGCATTAGGCACCAAAGCACCTCTCCTTTCAACTGTGGTGGCTCCGATTGCAACACTACTATGCGTCCTCTGAACCAAAAGACGACCCACCTTCCTAAAGACATATGATGTCGCATCATTGAAGGTTTTGTCAGATACAGCGTGTATCAATCATGTGCCACTGCTTAACCGTGTGACAACTGTGGAAAATGGCCATGTGCGACTGGTCTGTGTGTATTTTTAAGAATCCCTAATCCCTGCAAGTTTTCGCATCTCATAGAGTGTGGATGAAACATCCAAGACCGTAGCCAAGCCATTGAATTAATACTATGGAACGAGGACATCTTGAAGAGAAATAATGCAGGTGTATGTAGTCCAGAACCTGCGAACACGCGTGCAGACTCAGTCACTGGTGGAGACAATCAATGTCATTATAGGATATCAGCTCTGTTAATAATCTGACGGCCTACAAGCGTGGTAGTAATAAGAACTTATCTACTCTGTCCAGTCAGCTATCTTGAGCTTCACTCTCTGATGTGGAAAGTTGGAGTGATATATCCAGACTTAGTTAAGGCCAGGTTATCCCCAAGTATTGCATCTAAGCAGAGGGAATATATCTAATAATAGCTACTAAACACTATCAAGGCTGACTAAATTAATATTAAGTTACTCCTAGATAAGTCCAGTCAAGCAGTTAGCTACACCTAATGTATTAAACAAATGGACATGCGACACTCTATCCCTGGAAGGCACTCTCTACAGCCTGGTGCCACTATCACATATTATATTTAGGGGTGATTCTGCTGGTGGAAACCTTGTAACAGTCCTCCTGCAGACAATTCTTCAGTTCTACTGGGGTATGCCTGATAGTGATCTTCTTATTATGATATTCCATGGAAAGCCAGCCAAGGTGCCCCTACCGGCTGGAATCACTCTAGGCTCACCCTCTCTTGACCTCACACGCAGTATGCAGTTGTCTGAAATATATGCTTAGTATAACTACCTTCCCCTACCTTTGATTAACCTGGCTCATTCTCCCCATGCAATATTTGGCCCGCGAATCCACCTAGGGCTGATCTTTTCTATGAAGGAAGTGCTCTCTATCACCCTCTTATCTCCCTAGTTGCAGCACCCTCATGGAGAGGGTTACCTCCTATTTTTATCTCCTGTGGCAAGGAGCTACTAATAGATGAGTGTAAAGTTTTTATGTGGAAGGCTGTGAGACAGGGGGTTACTGTTATCTAGGAATAGTATGAGGCTATACTATATCACTTTTTGCATGTACTCCAGGGGACTTTAACCTTCTTATAGAGCCTTAAAAGTTATGCTAGTTTTATGATGCAAGCTATGTAGAATCCTAGTAAGATTACTACTAAGGGGATGTTCTTTAATACAAAATGTCTAGAGAGTTCTTCCATGGATGTTTGCAACCTCAATGTACTACTGAAGAGGATGTTCTAGAAGGATTGAAGCATGCTCAAGATAAGATTGTGCGCAATTTTCAGCTTGCTAAGTAGTAGACTGTGGTTTGTTCTGGTGACGCAGTTGAATGAGAGCTTCATTCGTACCTGTACTAGCAAATTCAACGTCGAAATCTCCACTTTACAAGTTGCATCCCTAGCCTCACAAGGTAGATATAAACTAAACACAGACATCCCCTCCCTAACTTCCACGCCTATCCCTTCTAAAAGCTGTATTTATGATTGCAGAGTTAATGCATACTTTACAGGCTCAACATAGTTTATGCAGTAGATCTTGTTATGCAATAGTGCCCATTGAGGCTCCTTAGTAGGGCATTATGGAGTCATGGACTGCTACACCTATATCTCTCGACAGACACACTATTGTAGCCTGTTGGCAGTATGTTAATGAAGGAGAAAGGTGCCGAGATTTTGCGCCAGAGATTAGCAGTTGCAGCGTTGACAGTGCTTGAAGAACCAGCTGTGCGCCGTTCATGCCTTGTTCTATAGATATACAGTTAGCAGGTCTTCTAGTGGCAGTGTGTTAGGCGCCTAATTCTCGACTTTGTAGTGATTGGAATGGACACGGTTAAGGACTTTCCTGAGTTGAATTTGGGCAGGATAGGAAGAACATCATCATGGTACTGAGAGCAGCGTCTCATTCGACAAAGTAAGTATGAAGTGCCCTTTGGTAGTCGAGTGACACTGCACGAGAAATGCCACTGGCGGGGAGATCAAGTCTCTGCAAGGATATGACTACACTCTAAAGTTTATGAAGCCCACAGGCTAAATCTGACAGTATACCATCAGACTATACCTCTTAAGCTGAAGACATGTCAATACGCAAATTTGTAAAGGTCTTTCAGAGGGCCGTCCTGCTTTGGTTATAGTGTTTCCTGGTACTGCCGTCAGCAAATCGCCTTGAGGGTTTGGGTTCAGACAGAAGCTTACGATCGGATGGGCACTTTGACAAGCGCGGGTTGCTTATGGCCGCAATAGCCAAAGATATATAACAATGATAGTAATAAAAATAATATGCTTGGATGACCCAACGCACGAAAGCTGGCCCGACCTGCCAAGAGCTAGGTTAGATGATAACTCTCGCCAGGAAACCCTTCCCGGAAAATTCCAAGGCAGCTCCTTGCTCATATTTTACCCGTAATTACTCAGATCAATATCATTGGTGGAGTATCAGTGCTAGGCTTAAATTGTGCTTGAAGGGATTCACTGGCGTCACTTAGCAAGTTTTCAGCTTGTGTCTGCACCGCCTTAGGAAGGATTAAATGAAGAATAGGGGAAGGTGGGAAACTTTCATACCTGATGGGATCTTCTCCCCAGAGCTAAAAGCCACACCTTTTGAGTGCAATCTTAAATTTACTAAGACATTGTCGGATCTTTTAGTGAAAATAGATAGAGGGCCCCACGGATTCATAGTCCTTATGACCCCATGGCCACCACATAGAAAGAGCAGGAAATCCACTGTCACAGTGATCAAGGTCTATTAGCTTCGACGCAATCTATGGATGGTGCAAAGTCCATAATGGAATATACAAAGGAGAAACGAAAAGTCATCATTAGCAATGACTGACTCAGATCCTTTTACTCATTCCTACTCTTTTACTTTGCTCCCCTTGGAATGGCATTAGCTCTGATTGTCCTTAATATAAAGACCTGTTTCTATGGCCTGGATCTGCTGAGCTTAGTCTTCTTCAGTATGTCTCAAAGGCTCATGAAGTACTCATGCAGGGGTTGGTCGCCATAATAATGGCCGTATATCTCCAGTATCTGCTCACTCATGAGTCTGCTGTTCCATGTGGAGCTATATTTATGTCTTTTTGGATATCCCAGCTGAGTGTCATCTGGTCACCGGGACTTTGGGCTGTGGTGACCACGAAGGAGTTTTCGGGGTAACTATACTTTAGTTTTGTTTGCTTGGTTCCATTCAGTATTTTGCTAGTGTCCATAATCAGCCCTTCCAGCGCCATTGCGCTGCTGCCACGACAGATAAATTATAGACTCCCAGATTGGCCGTTGGGCACAAACCTGACCTATGCTTCTTTATTCCCTGATACTCTTGGGTATGCTAGTCCCCTGCTAACGAATAGAAGTGCTACTGGTGAGACCTCCGATGTGCCTGGCCATTAGATGGTTTTGTATTTTCTGACATGGCTTATGCAGAAAATGAGCTTTCCTTTTCGGCGGGATGGGAGTATCTTTGGGCTCTCCCTGCGGTAAGCAGTGATAAGTAAACTGAAACCAGATTGCAGGCTGGAATGATAAACCTCGGAGATAACACTGGGAGGATGAAATGGGACATGCCCTGGCTTTATTCAGTTCTCATTCCAACCGTCATGCCTTGGTTAGAAAACCTTCCAGGAACGTCCCAGGTTGTCCGCTCATTGTATGTCCAGTATGCACCTAATAGCACACTTGCAACTGTACAGCATGTTCCGGTGGCTCTTTCTTTATCGGCCGCAGCCAACCAATTTGCGGCATCGTTTTCATCTCGGCCCATGACCATTAATGCCAGCATTGAGACCCCGCAGCCCTATGCCAGCACGTTCTGTCATTTGAACACGATTTTGAGCGAGAATGATACCCGACCCATACAGTTTCCAAAGTCTTACATTGCTGGGTGGGGGGATTCGTGTGATAGTTCGTCCAAGAAGTGGCCCGAGCTTGCAAATTATACACGGATTAGGCGAGAGGATATATGGGCAGAGGCAACTTCGAGCCCACAAGGTCGTCTAATCTGGGTGGATGACATCGTCCTCGATAATCCCGCCAGGAAAGGGGGGATTGGGGTTATAGTCGTCCAACCCGAATTGTGCAATGCAGGCAAAGTATATTTGACCGCATCGGCATGTGTCGTTGGTGCACGATGGGGGAACACCACGGCTCACCTGGAGATCACCTCTGATGGACTAGCCACCATGTCTAAGAGTATTGTAAGCGAGCTGTCGACGATATCACCCATAACAGTTCCTCGTTGGTCTGATCCTCCGCTGCGGATATCCACGGAATGGGCCAATAGTCTCAACCAGCACACCAGCAACCAAAACCGGACGGTAGCTGATAATCTGCTCCGAGCTCTTCCCATTACAGACAATGTGTGCCCTTTCAATGGCACTTATGGTCTGGATGCTCAACGGTCCTTTCCCCTCTAAAGGCCCTACATGCATGAAGCCCTTATTTCCTCCTTGGTTGCAAACGCGCTGTCGCATTCTGCAGGTGCCTTTGAAAAATGGTGGGAGGTAAAGAATGCAGGTGACAAGCTATGGAACTACATTAACCCACACACCCATCTTCCAGAGGTCGTGCCAAAGCCGCCTGGGCTAGTATTTACGTTCCAAGGTAGCTTGAGGGGCTACGCCTGGACGATGGATGGAGTTCCCATTAAGATCGCGGTTGTTTTCCTGGGATTATATTGCATATTCGTATCTGTGTTTGTGCTGTACACGGTTATATCAGGATACAGCTCGATGCCTTGGTCCACGGTCGCTGACTTGGTTGCTTTAGCATTGAACTCAATGCCGTCGAACAAGCTATGTAACACTAGTGGAGGTATTGGTGAGATGAAGATGTACAAGCACCTTGTCACTGTAAGGGAGATTGAGAACCATCATCGTTTGGAGTTGGTATTTCCCCAGGATGGACAAGACAGAGGACCTATCAGAAGAGTGGCTCGAAACATAGCATATTGAAACCAAGGCAGCGATAGTCACGAAAGTACGTCCTGTTCAGGTAACATCAGTGCTGCACCTCTACCGAGGTCATCGCCACCTTTTACGCAATTAGTGCAATCCTGGAACCACTGCGCCAGTTATGAATAACGATAGTCTAAAGAATACAGCGTATGTCCACCTTGATCGTACCTCAAGTATTCCCTCATCCAATAAGACTAGCACAGTTTCCGTGTCGCACTGAGAGAGGGCAGAAAGCCACGGTTCAATCCTGTTCCCTTCCTGTTGGAGATGGCTTTCAAAGATGGTGCTTTCCTTCATATCAATTCGCCTCATACCTTCAAAAGATGGGCGGGCTAAGCCAGGATAGCATTCTCGCTATCTGACTCGTGTTTGGACTTTCCTGGCTATGAGAATGCCACGGGGTCGCCAAATTTCTGCTCACCTACATATAAGTACCTTAATTTGGGAGAATATCAAAACGCAGTTGTTTGAGGTTTCAAGATCTCTTCAGACAGCTAAGCATCTTTTGCCATGTACTTTTGCGCTTGATAATACAACCTCTGACAGCAGCTGAGTTGATGGCAGCAATCCTTGTCCCATATTTATTTCATGTTGAAACAAGCTATGGCTTCTGAAAAGCATGTCCCTATGAAGGCGCGCCTTTTATTAACGGCGAGGTCAGTGGGAGTTGATGATCTTAATGGGTGTTATCGGACGGATTAGCCGCCAGTACAAGAAATTTTATATTAATTGCTGCGAAAGGCCCTAATAGTTGACTCCGCCTAAAATGATTAACTAGCATTGGTTAGACTGTATCACCTTGGCAGCTTCTTCTCCCAAAACTCCTACCCTCATGAATCCCCTTTCAACACGTCAACACATTGAGGTTCGACATGGACGAAACAACGCCTCTCCTTCCTGGACAAAATGACCACAACGACGAGCATACTACCACAACGCGACTAACACGCTCTTCAAGAATCATCACCATTCTCATCTGGTCGTCCATCATTACCTCTGCCGTGACCTTCTTGTACAGCCTCACCGTCTACCTGGTGGTAAAAATCTCCCCTTACTATGACTTTCTCCACTGGGACATGAGAGATCCCATTGAAGTGTTGCTCCCTCTGGTATGACTTTCCTCGGTCGATCTGATCGCATCTCTAACCCAGTCTAGAGCTTCCTATGCGCGGTCGTCAGCTTGTTCGGCATCTTCAAACTGACCGTCCCAAATACCGGCGCATGGCTCTTCGTCAACTTCATCTTCGATCCGTTGATCGTATTCCTCTTTTTGGCTAATTACGCTCTTTCTGGCCCTGCGATTGCAAACTGGGGACAATGCAATGAGTATAGTCAAGGGTTTCCAGCTCCAGGGTTCGAGGCGAGATGTAACAGGTTTGCGAACGCGATCAAGGCGCTGATACTCGTGGGACTCGTATTCGAGATGGCCGTCATGTAGGTTTCACTATTTGTTCTTTGTGCAAGCTGACTGTTGTCTAGGACGCTACATCTTGTCTTTTTCATCTACGATGTGGTGCTGGGGGTTAAGAGACTCGGGCAGTATAGCGGGGGATGGAGGTTTCCAACTGGTCAGGTTACTGTAGAGTTTACCGTTAAGATATTGAGGCAGAGAGATGAATAATTGTGTACTTGTGGACTGGCGAGGTTGGTGGTGATGACCGGTCAATTGTGATATGTGTGGCATCAAATAGGACTTGCAGATCGCATTATTTTAGTCGTTCAAGATATAGAATGCAGGTCAGCAGACAATTCGCCTTAGGTAAAGAATTTGCCAACAATGATAAGGAGCACCATGGGATTTGTCGACCCGAAACGAGCAATGTCTTCCAATCTGTTCGATTGTCTCGAGGATTGGCCCAGATAAATCCCGCACGCTAAAAGGAACGTTATCAGGACTATAGCTTCATGCACCGCCACCCACGCACATGGTTTACCCCACGTGCAGTGACGCATGTTTAAAGCGATGCATTCTTCTTTTTCTCTGTCTTTTGCATCTTATTCTCATCTTCAAGTGCTTCTCAGCTGCCTCGTTGCGTGTGTCAGTTGAGCAATCCCCAGGGATGTGGAAGCCTTCCCTCAATTTCATCACTTTGCATTGTCAGTAGGCTTCTGGAACAAAGAGCGACTAAAACTTACTCGACTGCAGATGCGTACATCATCACTCTGAGCATCCTCAGTCTGGCCATCATCTACCCATATGGCAACCTCCGAGCCATCGACGCGTTCTTCTTCGGGGCCAGTGCCTCGACAGAATCCGGACTAAACACGTTGGTCGCTCGATCCTCTGCAATGGGAAATACTGACGCGACCTAGTGTTGATGTCAATCGCTTGAAAACGTATCAACAGGTCTACATCTATGTGACTCCCATTATCAGCAATCTTGGCTTCGTCAACATTATCGTGGTGATTGTACGGCTGCGCTGGTTCGAAAAGCGTCTCAAGGAAGTTGGTGTGTATCCATATCTTTGCCTCTCAGCAATTGAGCTAATCTGTGATACAGCCCCTGCCTTTCTCAGACAAAGACGGAAGGATGATGCAGAAGCAAGAGTGGACAGTACTTCGAAGACGGCCACAGCGTCAGGCGCCCCAACTACAGAGAAGTGAGTGATGTCCGCTGATTACCCAGACACTGCTCATGGCGCATAGAAACGATTCTTTTCAGAATGAGACTCAGAGTCCGCCCTTGCGCCATCCAGCCTCCCGGTTTCCCTTCCCCAGTATCACCTTTGCCGAGCACGTGCACGACGCTGGCCGGGACAGGGCTCTCTACGTTCCACCTCCATGGCAACGAGATCGAGGACAGTCCATCGTGGAAGTCGACGATGCGTTGAGCGACTGTGGTAAGCTAGATCAGCTAGCTGGATACTGGTCATAACAGCTGACTATCACAGAGCGAACCAAATCGGCCGACGCTCAGATCCACCCCGGTACTTCCCGCCGGCGGTTCAAGCTGGCTCGGACAAACACGCTGGAGCGAGTCGCCTCCACGATGTTTGTCCTCGGTCCTTCCGCAAGCCATCCCCCCAGGGCGCAGACTCAGCCCCTCGAGGGGTCCCTTTCGCAGCAGCTGGACCTGCCTGAACTGTCATCGCATGCCACATTAGGCCGGAACTCGCAATTCCGTAACCTGACGGACGAGGATCGGGAGATGCTGGGAGGAATCGAATACCGCAGTTTGAAACTGTTGCTCAAGATCGTCACTGGTAAGTCATTAACACCTTTCATTTGCAGGACACTCTGACGGAACAGGGTATTTCTTCGGGCTCCATCTCTTCGGCGCAATCTGCCTGGTCGGTTGGATCCAGCACGCCAACCCCAAGTACCGCGAATACCTTGCCGAATGTGGCCAAGGCAACATTTGGTGGTGAGTCTTAACCCCTTTGCCATCATATGCCAATGCTAAGAAAGTAGGGCCTTCTATTCCGCCCAAACAATGGTAGACAATCTCGGCTTCACCCTCACCCCCGACTCAATGATCAGCTTCCAGGACGCAACCTTTCCCTTACTCGTCATGAGCTTCCTCGCCTACGCCGGCAACACCTTCTACCCCTGCCTCCTCCGCTTCATCATCTGGACCATGTCCAAGCTCTGCCCGCGCCACTCATCCCTCAAAGAACCCCTCGCCTTCCTCCTCACCCACCCCCGCCGCTGCTACACTCTCCTCTTCCCCAGCAAACCCACCTGGGTCCTCTTCGCCATCCTCTTCACCATGAACCTCGTCGACGTCATCCTCATCATCGTCCTCGACCTCCACAACCCCACCCTCACCGTCCTGCCCCCCGGCCCCCGCGTCCTAGCCGCTATCTTCCAGGCCGCCTCAGCCCGCCACACCGGCACTGCAGTCTTCAACCTCGCGAACGTCAATCCCGCGGTGCAGTTTAGTTTGTTGGTCATGATGTATATCGCAATCTACCCCATCGCTATCTCCGTCCGCGCGTCAAATACCTACGAGGAACGCGCGCTGGGCATCTACCCCAACGACGCGGCGACCATTGATGAATCGGACGGCCGATCTTATGTTCTATCGCATATCCGGAATCAACTTACCTTTGACTTGTGGTATATTTTCCTCGGGATCTTTTGTATCTGTATTGCGGAGTCGGATCGGGTTATGGATCCCGCGGAGCCGGTACCCTCCCTTCTCCCGTTGATGTGGAAGCAAGCTGACAGGATAGGCATTCGCCGTCTTCCCCATCTTCTTTGAGGTTGTGTCCGCGTAGTATGTCCTATCGCTCTAAATTTCTGTCCTGACAGTACTGATAATGTGATAGTGCGAATGTTGGGCTGAGTCTGGGCTATCCCACTGTGAATACCTCCCTCAGCGGACAGTTCTCCGTCTTCAGCAAGCTGGTTATCTGTGCGATGATGATCCGCGGGCGGCATCGGGGCTTACCGTACCAGCTGGATCGGGCGATTGTGCTGCCGAATGAGCGGTTGGATGATAGTCTGGAGAGAGTTGATGATGTGAGGTCGCTGGGGAGGATGGGGAGGATTAAGCGGTTTCATACTAGCTAGTTACGTACACGGTATAGATATAGATGTGCGTTACTAGGCAGCTTCATAGACATGAAGTGAATCGCTCGTTATCATAATATGCTACAGCTATCTATGTACAGATTAATGCGGCTTGACCCATGCGGGCTTCTCGCATGGATGTGAGTCCCGCCATTTCTGGATTTGCTGGACGTTCCATCCTGAGAACCACCGCCGGTGATACTCGGGCAGCCGTTTTGTTCCTATTTTGAATGACTCCGTCGACACGTGGCACTCGTTCTTGCTGTACCGCCATTGGAAGCAGGTGTCCTGACTCAAACACTCGTCGCGACAGGCCTCCATCGAGGGGCTGTCCAGTTCCACAGGCACATCAGCGAGATTATCCCAGTCGTCCTCCTGGACGCGCATCTTCCCGGTTGGAAAGGATAACTCGGAGAGTTCCCGGAAAATAAGCGGTACCTAGTTTGTTAAGTTAGTGCTGCGTTTGCGTTTTATCTCGACTCAGGGGCACAGCATACCGTTACATCGTCGCGCGCCTGCTCGAAATCGAAAATGGCACTGCGCTCCCGCGGCATAACATGATGCATCGTGACAACAGGCTGGCACCATTGCTTCGACCCAAACTCCAGCGTCGCCGGTTTCTCCCCGTTCACCTGCGGCCAGAAATTCCGGATCCCCACGTTGAGCTCCTGCTTAATGGTGCGGCCCAGCACGAAATCACCACAGCACTCGTTCGGAATGGCATCATCGTACCGACCCGCCATCCTCTGCTCCCTCCCCACAAACGCCTCCATCAGCGCTCGCGAAATGACGTACCCGCTCCCGCCGTGGCCGAACCCCTGGTCCGCGATGAACGACGCCGAACCCATGTACAGCTTGTCCTTCGGCGAGAACTGCCGCAGCCACAGAACGAGATTCGTCCATACGACGTACGTGTCGCTCTCGATGAAAACGTACCAGTCCATGTGCGGCCGCTGCGCCCACGTCTTCTCCACCATGTGCAGGAACTTGTACTTGTCGAGCGTCCAGGCGGCCTTGCCGTCGTCCTTGAGCGTGGCGATGTCCAGCCCCCCGCGCTGGTACGCTTGTTGCTGCCGGTAGAGCTCAAAGTCGGCATGTGTGGCTTTCATGCTTGCGTTGAAGTCCGCCAGCGCATCGAGGATATGGTACGGGCCGATCTGCTCCTCGAGGTCGGAGAAGATCAAAAAGTCCCGCGCGCATCCGAGCGTCGTCAGCAGCTGCGTGGGTAACTTTTCGTAGATTTCCGTCGCTCCCGTCTTCACGATGAACAGGATGTTCCCTGGGTCTGGCACCGCGTGGCACCGCCGGTCGGTATGCTGGAAGTCGTCGCTTGGGCCGCCGGATGGCCCGGGATTAGTACCGTGGCTGCTGGCCGTCGGTTTTCCGATCGTCTCGTGCAGAGCCGGCATCATCTCGTAGAAGAGCACCAGAGTGCAGAAGAAGAGGACGGCGGCCAGCGCCATTGGTGCGAAACGGCGAAGTTCCGGTTTTAGCTTCAACTCCAACGGCTTCATGTCGAACGCGACCGTATTCAAAACCTTAGCTCGGTTTGAGCGTGTTGCAAATGTGTCGGGCACATGTGGATGGATATACCAGCGGCCGGGGTAAGCTCGACAACGACAGATGAAGAAGGAAGCAACCCCGCTGCGAGAGAAGAGTGAGACGCGGCTCTAGCTTGTGAGACACTCCCAATATATCGTGCTCTAGCGCCCTAAACATAGAAATTAATACTCAATTAGTGCCCGTGTGCACTGTCCAGGGTCCAGGGTCGGTCGGGGTTGATCAATGTCCGTCCGTAAACCGTTGCTATGCCGGGCGTGGCTGAACGGAGACTGAAAGTGAGCACTAAGATCGGCTTCCACCATTTCAGCGCGCTAGATTAATCCATTGTCCATTTATCATCATAATGGCAATTGAATGTGGAGAATGGGAGACAGAAATATTGATGGTCCAGTTATTTTCAGCTTCGGGAGCTGGGATCTGTGGGAGTGGAAAACCTATCATCGCTGGGGAAATGGTGTCTGCCCCACGCAGTTCAATTGACTGACTCTATTAATTGCGACATTGACAAGCTAGTTTCAGCCTTGTCGATGCTATTGGTTTGGATCAGCAGTGTCAATGTCTCCGATTCGCTTTGACCAGAGAGTTTGACGATCCACAGTGAAACCGTTTCTCTTGGGTGGAGTTTCTAGCGTCCAACACATGCCAGAGTCTACAGAGCTTCCAATGTCACGCTATCACTAGGCAGATATGTCATCATCATCTACACACTCTTCAACCTTGAGTACCAAATGAGTCAACTAGAGCACCAGCTGTCGATTTCCAACTGCCGTGTTCGCTGTCGGATCCGAGACATCCTCGTGTTGTCTCCACTGCTTCAGCCACACCCCGACAAACCGTACAATTTCCTGCTGAAGGTTGACTATGGCCTTTGGTGCGGTCTTCCCTTGCTGCACATCTTCTTCGGACAAGCCATTCTGATCCCAGTGGTGCACCGCACCGCGAATCCCATCCCAGACATCCTCAGCCGGGACATCGACAAGGATAAACGGCTCCTCGTCCGTTGACTTTCTTGGTCGTGCACCGTCTGCATGTGGTGTCGCGTCTCGCCAAGGATCGGCCAGTCCATCGATAATGGCCGCCCGCGGGTACGAGAAGTTGAACCCGCCATGCTTGTTAATCCGGTCGGTATCAGGGGGTGTGGTGATGTTGAAGTCCTCCTTGCAGAACTGAGATTCTTTGGCAAGCGTGATCAAACGGGAGATAAGAGGCAGTCTATCTTTTGGAACGCTTGACCCCGGCATAAAGTATCCCCATTCGGTGCAGACCTGGTACCCCCAGCTAACCCCTGTCGATTTTTCCAGTGATTGTGGTGACTTGGGACTGGAGGTACGGCGAACCTCATCAAGATGGGAGAAAATCGTAGCGTTCATGTAACCAGCGTAATTGAGCATCCCGGTCACCAAGCTGGAGTTGGTTACATCATACTTTGTGGCGGAGATGACCTCCTCTGTCCACGCTTTTATAGTATTATTCTGCTGATAGAGCAATGCCGGGCTCGTGAGATTCTTGCAATATCTCTGAAAAGTACCATCGCCGACCGCAGGATCCCAGTTCCGGCCTTGAAAGGCTCCAAGGGTACTCGAGAGAGCCGCAGCGAAGAACTCATCATCAACGATCGAGGACTTTGCACCAAAAACAGCCTTGAGGTAGGATTTCATTGTCTCGTTCTTGGCATGCTCAATCAGTATGGTATCCACAATATCCATGAACGTTCCGATACTCCATATGCAGTCGGACGGTGCAAATTGGCGAATAGGCTCATAATATCGCCAATAATCCTCAATTGCCTCGGTGACTCCCGATGACGACACAACCCCGAAGAAGACCTCTGGGTAGACCTTGCGAAGAAAAGCCACAAATGCTCCGGCATAGGAGCCTCCGTATCCAATCCACGGCACGGTGTCAGCTGTCAGATTCAGGTGCTCCAGTCCGGGGAAAACAACGTTGGAAGCAAAGTAAGCGTAATCAGCCATTGCTTGCTCTGTTGACAAGAACCGGATGTTCTTCGTGGTGAGATTGGCGAAGGGGTAGCTCTCTCCATAATAGCGGTGTTCCAGGATAACTCCAAGACCATTATAGGTCTTGGCTAGCTGGGTCACAATTCCGTGAGACAGGAACGGGAAACGATTCCTACCATTCGTCTCCCCGGCTGCAATGAGAAATACTGGTCCCCCTTCCTTGTAGTGACTGGCGTCGAACCAGTAGCGGAGGTTGAAATGGTCGCCAGTATGAGGTTCATATCGAGATTCATTGTGAAAATGGTCAATAGGCACTGAGAAATTGTAGTCTATAAACTCCTTCAAAGACGTCAGGTGTAGTGATGCACTCGTTTCATCTTCCAGCAGTCGCAGTTGATGGAGAAGTGGGAATTGCAGTTCCAATGGAGAGATGTCGAACCCTTGGGCGGCGGAGGCCAGGAATGTCCCAATAAGGAACAGAACAGCTCGCAGCTGCATTTTTATGGTATACAATGTGTACTCAGAGCAGAGATAACATCGACGATAGTAGAGGTTTATAAAGGCAAGAGAGAGTACTCCGTAGCTTTCAAGGTCCTTAGGAGCTCCGCCGGATGATCATCCATCGCGACGATCCCCCTCCCGTCTCCACACCTACGACAAGCGCAGTTGGCATGTTCACACATCACATGCCATAGAGAATTGGACAAGTGTGCTTGCTGTTTATTCGCAAGTCATTATATTCACTCCTATCTCTGATGCTTTCAAGGAACTGGTCCAGAGGAGAGTCAGTGTAAATGAGCGTTTGTTGACTGCTTTGTACCTCGGCTCAATGTCACCTTACTATTCCTACTATGGACTAGCTTCAAGTTATCCTCGAGACATCTCCCTTTGTTTAGGATCACGTTTCCCATTGAAACAACTCCCCTCATATTTTAAGCATCTCAGCAGCATATCCATATGCCTCCTCTTTAGCTTTCCACTCCCTGGTCTCCGTTTCGATTTCTTAACCCACCCGTGCATACACCCCTCCATCCGATGGCATACCACGTTATGACCCTCCACCGTGCGGACCTTCTCCGCAAACTCCTCCTTCGATCGTGAACGGATCCTCTTCGGTGATGATATCAGCATATTCCTGGGAATCTGCGCCGGATCTGCATATGATGGCGAAAGCCGCAGATCTCTTGTGTCGACCTCGCGGGGTTTCCGATAGCACGAATGAAGAATTCCGATAAGGAAGGGAGGATCCTTCGAATCATAAACTTTGACCTAACGACTTGCTTCTTTGCTGTGGCGGTTGTGACAGATCCGTAGAGGGGTAGAATGCGATAAGGGCGTGGAATGGTGATTCTTCATTTTCTTTGGCAGTGCTGAAGAGCAGAGAAGATGAGGCGACCGCCAGGACCAGATTACCCCCTGCGCTGAACCCGGATAGGGACATACCCGCCTGATCAAACCTTGCAGGCTGGGACTGTACCCACTTCACCACGTCCTCGGTATCGTCGAACGCAGCGGGGAAGGGATGTTCGGGTGCCAGGCGGTACTTCACGTCGAGCACGGTGTAGCCTGTTTGCGCGATTGAACGGCAGAACTCATCGTCGATGCCAAATGCGCGGAGCGTGAAGCCGCTGACACAGGCGTTTATCAAGACCGGCGAGAGTCTTGTGGTTCTCGAGCCGTTGTAGATGTCGAGCCTGACGGTGCGGTGCGATCGACGTTTCGGGACGGTATATGTAGAACTTCGTCAGGGTGCGAATCTACCTGAAATGTAGGCGGACAACAATCCGCAGTGCTATGACGATCTTGTTCCATAACCTACGCCCATGTTACGTATATCAAGTCGTAAGGATATTCCGTTCACCTTGACTGTCTAGGACGCATGCTCATGATACAATGACATCATCTAGATGAGACATTGAACCCTCCATATACCATCCGTGGGAATCATGATCCTTCTCTGCATGGCATATTGAGCTGGATAAGCTGCTCTAGATACTGCTCAAGGCTTTGGTTGTGACCTTTGCGATATAGCTCTGTTTATCATAAAGCGGCCACAGATATATTTGCGCACTGAGAAAACAGTCACTTTATCACAATTCGATTCGGGTCTGGTTCAAACGTTTTTTATTTTTATTTTCTTCCTCTACTGTACATCTAGGATTGCCACTGCCATATTTCTTCCGCTCTGCATGGAATTTTCTCTAAGTAGTGGCAGATCAGTTTCGGTGCGCTGCTGATTGGAGAAAAATACGAGCTAAAAATGAGGCAGATAGCGGACACCTAAAATGGTTAAGGTAGATAAGATTTCTTCATGAAGTTTTTGCGAGATGTTTGAGTCCATCCCTAATAACTGGATGGAATAGCCATTCTGCAGCCCGATATGTCTCCTCAAGCTGAGATGAAGGTGTCCAGCCTAGAGAAGGGACTTAGTCCTGCCACAGCAGTGAAGCACGATGTGGCTGCAACGGCGAACGAGACCAAAGAAGAGTCCGCTGCGCCAATGGACCACGGACTTCATGCTTGGACAGTGGTCGCAGGAGCCTGGTGCTGTCTCTTTTGTGGATTTGGGTGGGTGAACGGTGAGCTTGTCCGTCACCGACAGAGAACAAATCTGACCGAAATAGCGATCGGTGTCTTCCAAGATTACTACCAACGTAATCAATTGCGCGAGTACTCGGCATCAAGCATCTCCTGGATCTTGTCTCTCGAGCCATTTGTTCTCTTCGCCGCAGGCATCGTCCTAGGCCGAGTTTTCGACAACTACGGCCCGAAGTGGATGCTGCTCATCGGCACATTCCTCCACGTCTTTGGCCTCATGATGATCTCCGTCTCGAGCGAGTACTACCAATTCCTCCTTGCGCAGGGGATCTGCAGTCCCCTAGGGGCCAGCTTTGTCTTCTATCCGGCTTCCGCCTGCACAGCGACCTGGTTCGATAAGCGCCGCGCGCTCGCATTCGGGATTATGTCAAGCGGGTCGTCGATAGGCGGCGTTGTCTTCTCCGCGATGTTATCGCGACTGCTGCCGCGGGTTGGATTCGGATGGTCGCTGCGCATCTCGGCGTTTGTGGTGCTGGCGTTGCTGGTTGTGGCGAATATGACTGTTCGCTCGCGGATCGCGCCTGTGCCGAGGAGGGTGCAGTTCAGTGATTATATCGGGCCGTTCTCGGAGGTGCCCTTTGTGTTGCTGATGCTGGCGTCTTGCTGTGGCTTCTGGGCGATGTTTGTGCCGATCAACTATGTGATACTGGAGGCGCAGGAAGATGGAGTTCGACGGAGTCTAGCGGAGTATCTATTGACCATTCTAAATGCTGCAAGGTTAGTGTCCAGTCTCCAGCTGCGCGGACAGAGTATATGCTGATGAGACAGTCTTCCTGGTCGAATCCTTCCCGGTTACTTTGGAGATAAACTCGGCCGGTTCAACGTGATGATCGCCATGTGTACCCTTTCTGCGCTGACGATTCTCGTCCTCTGGATTCCTGGAACGCTGCTGGCCCCTGGCTCTGCGGCCGTTTATGTAATCTTCAGTTTGCTGTATGGATTCGCGTCCGGAGCGTTTGTCGGCATGGTTCCGGCGCTGCTCAGTCAGATCACGGCGGATATGAGCAAAACGGGTGTGCGACAGGGAGTATTGTATACCTGCATGAGCATCGCAACGCTAACCGGAAGCCCAATTGCGGGGGCGATTCTGAATCGACAGCAAGGGACTTACTGGGGGTTACAAGTCTTTGCTGGGGCAATGATGGTGGGGAGTGTGGTGTTCTTTGTTGCTGCGAGAGTGGTTTTGCAAGGGACGTCGCTGAGAAAGAGGGTGTAATTGATATTCACACCGGTATAGACCTCAGGCATCAACACACAGGATCAGTCGGGATAATAGTATCTATAATTCACTACAAACCTTACTTTTTTGACACTGTCTATGCGTGGCTCTGACAGAAACCTATTTGAGTTTCCCCGGTGCACAAATATTCCTTGAGAGGAGACCTGAACAGGCTGCTTGAGTCGAGGATTCGGCGCCAGCTGTACACTTTATGATGGAGTGGACTGCACGGAAATCAGTGCTACGCGTTATGAGGAGAATAAGACAATAGAACTTGGAGATGTAGATAACAGTAGCAGGATGATCAATGTATGTTTGCTCTATCCACTGCTCGGGTTCACTTCGTTGTACATGACTGAAAGCTACCACTGATCTAGTAGCACTCCAAATGTCCCACCCAGTATTCCACCAATTCTTCAGTGAAGTCCAAATCCTAAACAACTAGCATAGCTAATACACCAGCTCCCATTCCGCACCACAGCCTGGGATATAGGCAATGCGGTCGTCAGGCTGTGGAGCAAAACTGGTGGTAAGCTCGCTGATGCTGAAATGAGGCCGCAAACAGGATATGGTCAATATGAAGAATCCCTTGGCGTTCCTGATGAACGACACCGGGCCGGAGGCATGATGAAGAGACATAAGATCGTCGCCGAGAATGCGTTGATCTACCGGAGACGGCGCGTAATTCGGGCAGAGTCTTTTAATGGCTTGGAACCGGGCGCGAGACGTGGTGCTGGCGTAGACCTGAAGTGATTCCGTCTCTGACTTGCGTTGGACGTCCCAATAGAGCGATTTGTACTTCTTGGAGCGGATGTAGTACCTATAGGAATAACCAGTCAGCTAACTTGCAAGAGTAAGAGAAGGATGGGGGCTACCAGTTGTATTGAAAGCAATCGACAAAAGGCCCGTTATTGATCGTGTGCCACGAATCATTGTAGCCATACAAAGGCTTGAAGAGGATCAGTCCGTCGAATCTCTGAGTGAGGTAATAGTCGGTGGTTGAATGTTCGATGCGGAAGTTTTGGTACCGGTACCATTCAGCGTTGACTCGCGCGATGTTTCCGAACTGTGAGGTCTCCATGGCACGGAACCAGGCGTCTAAAGTGTTCTTGTCTTTGGCCGTGATGAGCCAGACAGCGAAGCCCTGCTTCGGTTAGCGAGAGCGACTGCTTTTCTGGCCTAAAGAGCTTACCCCGGAGGTGGCGTAGGCGTAGAAGACCATCTTGCTCCACGGAAGCTCTGCCTTCAGGTAGCAACTGACATGAAGACGTCGACTGCTCAACTGATGGAAAGAAAGATTGAGCAGAGAGTGTCGAGACTTTATAGTCCTAGAATCAGTGGCATATGTGAATGCGACGGAAGTCTGAAGGCGTATGTAGAAGCTGAAATCTCCAAGAGAACATCTGGATCATGCAGAATTTTCATCATCATTCACCATGAAAGACGACATAATACGCCTGAATAGCTTCAGAAAGGCTCGGCGTCGCGTATGATGGTGTGCAGTGTTGTCCACCTCTTCACGGTTTGCTCTGGGTGATGCAATAAAGAATGATTCTGACTGCATGCCTTCAGCAGCTATTGCAGAGTAAGTGTTTGATTGCCTGGAGCAACTCATTCCCCTCATGGATGGTGACTTCAATTCCATGTCGTTTTCGTCTGTCGGAATAGAGGCATGATTGATTGCCTCCTCACCAGGTACGTGCCAATCCGTGATGCACCATTTGTGGAGCGTCTAGAAAGTTGCTAATCCTTCAGGAATCCGAGGATAGACACGATTTTTGGCATATGTGGAATCAGTCAACTCTCCGAATCTCAGCATCTCCGCAATTTGTATCGACTGACCTCGAGGACGTTGTCCAAACAGCACGCTGTGTTTTCAGTTGGCGAGACCTGTGCTGGAAACTACTTATCCGCTCTTTTGCCAGCGAGATTCGCAGCCGCTCTGTTCATCTTCAGACCCAAACAGACATGGTTGACGGTCATTGGAGAGCAGGGCAGCACTATGCCTGGTAAACATGCAGTCTCAGAGGAGCTTCTTTCAGTATTCGAAATAAGTCGGTGCGGACAAGAAGAAGAGTAGGCGGATGTTGTCTGCTACTCGCACGCGGTGCCATGCAGACGTCTTTCCACGATACGAGAATAATCATTCCCGACAAGGTGAGGATTTACGCTCAGGTCAACAAAACAAGGACGCTGTATTGATCGGGTACTTCTTTGGAGGGGAGTGAAATACCCTCCATTATAGATCAATAACTGGCTAGCATGCTGACTGAGCACTTATCTCTCCTTGAAAGACACACGGCTTCCCGGAAGCATCTTCAGGAATCACATCTCACACTCCACGAAGTCTGCCAGTCATCCGTAATCCCAATGCGCAAAGAAATCTCAAATCTCTCTCAACTCGAAATGCCTGCTCTCTGACACTCGAGGAAGGCCATTACACAAGAAAACGTCATGAGACTTTTGTCATTGCTAGTGTGCCATGCAGTGCAACAACGCCACTAAGCCCGATCACGCGAGCAACGAAGACTCGGCATTACAGATCCGGTTGCATTTTTAGATCGAAGATATCTTTGAGACAGCAGATATTGCACAATTGCAGAGCTACCAACGATCACCCTCCTATTGAGGCGATTGAGCGAGGATCCTCCCGCTGTGAAGTTCATTACCGGAGACAACGATCAACGCTGGTGAAATGACAGATTCCAACCATTGTGCCATTGGCTCAATCATAGACGGCTGCACGCGCCGCCGCCGACGTGGGTACTCTCTTGTCGGAGAGAAAGATGTCCAACTGCAGCCTATTCACATGGGAATCCTCACTATGCGGAAGCGAGATGGTACTCCATACGGTTGACACGTGACAATAGCAGACACTTGCTGTGAGGTGCAACTGCTGGCCCCTTCTGACTCGTAGCACTCATCATTTTGCATCATGTGTGTTATGAGGAGAGACTGAGGGATCACAGAGAATTAGGTTTCGCAGGTTTGGACGCATTTGGACAAATCCTGTAGTGAGTGGCTGCCTGAACTGATTATACTCGCATGGAGACCCTCGCTTAACTCAATTACCGAGGAGTTCGGGCGATGGGATCCAAATCCTCTCGGCGCTTGACTAGCGTGAAGAACTGATGGTATTTGGTTAGATTTACTGGTGGGCAGAATCAGCCGACGCAAGCCACCAGGTGCTAACTATCGCTGCATTCTGGTCTAGACTGTCGAGGGCATCTCGTATTTGGAGGTATAACAGCATCATCTCCATGATGGACATGTCAGACTCAGCTATAGACATTCGTGAGCTTGAGGAGCCAGGGAGCAGTCGTACGCTGCGGCCTGCCTTTCCCTCAAGATAGGGACCGTACCACTGCTATATATTTAATATGAGCTATCATACATTCAATCCAGCGGGAGGTAAACACAGAGTGTAAACAAGAATGCAAGGAGGCCGGGAGGCAAGGAGGCAATGAAGGGGTACGGAGTATGTCCGCCGGCAGAGAGTAATTAATGCTCATAACTGTCAAAGGGATCACACAAAGAATACCCTCAATTCAAAAACTACAGTACTACGAGCAAGAGGGGCAGGATACTAGCGGTCACTCAGATCTCACTCTCGAACATCATAATGGCTATTCTAGCAAGACAAATTGTGCATTGACTGGTCATAATCAATCATAGCGATGAACCGACAAATGCATGATTGGGTGCAACAAAAAGTCCGGTCCGAAGATCGCATGCCGAGACTCGTTTGATGGGGAAAATCGATTCCTTGCCCTGTCCAAACTCAGATCAGGTTCTAGAGCTAATGCAGGAGCTGCATGAGTGGGTGCAGGATAGATTGTGATCTATCAACTGGGTGGGCTGGTGGAGTGTGGTTCATTTCCCGGCATTCCTCGTACTTAAAGCTGGCCCCTTGATATTGTTGACCACTTGGTTATGACTCTGTAGACAATAGTATAGCTGCAATATGGCGTCGCTGGTCACCTCCCTCGTCAACGCCCTGACTGGCAACTCGGACAGTCTCTGCTCTGTCCTGGCCGATCATGGCTTCCAAATTCAGTATCCGCTCTCGCTGTCGTATACCCACGACTTGACCAACTACTGGTCGGCGGCATGCTGGGATCTTCATCCAGAATGCATGGTTGTGCCAAACAATGCCCAGGAGATGTCGGATGTAATCACCGCGCTGGGGTACACGCAGGACCAATTCGCGGTGAAATCGGGCGGTCACTCGCCTAACCTTGGTTTCTCAAGTACGCAGGGCGGCCTGCTAATCGTCACGAAGGATCTCGATCAGGTTGTGTATGATCCGTCCACCCAGACGGCTGTTATCGGGCCGGGGCAGAAATGGGAGGATGTGCAGGGGAAGCTGGAGGGAACAGGGCGGGCGGTTCTCGGCGGGAGGCTGGGAGGTGTAGGTGTTGGAGGGTTGCTTCTAGGAGGTGAGATTCGATTCTGCTCTCATATGAATGTGGTTCCTGAGCAGATGAAAAGGTGGTCTCAGCTACCTCAGCCCGCAGTATGGCTGGGCAGCGAACAATATCCTCAACTACGAGGTTGTGCTGGCGAATGGCACCATCGTCAATGCAAATGCAAACGAGAACTCGGATCTCTTCGCTGCCTTGAAAGGTGGAGGCAGCTCCTTCGGGGTCGTCACGTCGTATACCGTCCAGACACGCCCGATGGATCACCCTGTTTGGGGAGGAAATTACATCTTTTCCGGGGTTGACACGGCGAAGATGCTTGCTGCTCTGCAGAACTTTGTCGAGTACTATCCGGATGAGAAGGCTTCAATTATTTTGACCAGAGAGCACGCACCAGCGCTCGATATCTGGGTCATGTTCCTCTTTTATAATGGAGAGAAGCCCCCGGCAGGTATCTTTGACAACTTTACTGCCTTGAATCCAATTGACCAAACCCGGACATATGACCGTTATACCGATCTGGTGGGTGATAAATCAATTTGAGAAATGTGCTGCCCATGTCTAACCGACTCGAACAGCTCAAAAACGGCGACAAATATATCATTCAGTAAGTTGCGAGTCTGGAAATACTCGTTCAGCACTGACACCCTACAGCGGAAGCCGATACAGCGTTGCAGGCGAAACCCTGCCCGTCCCGAAAGGCATGTCGCTCGAGGTCTTGCAGTCCATCTTTGATTTTTGGCTTGACGTAAACAACGAGGTACTGCTGGAGACCGGTATGGTGGGAAGCATCGCCTTCCAGCCCTTCCCACGGAGCATCGCACAGAAAGCCTTGGAGCTCGGAGGAGTCAGTCGCTTCCTAGGTACACCTTTCAACTAACGGCTGCTAACCGGGATTTAGGATCTGCTTGACTTTCCACCAGACCAGGATTATATTCTCATTCAGATTACCCTGCAGTGGATACTGGGGCTGTCCGATGCTCGGATGCACGATGCCACGCAGAAGCTCTTCAAAGGATTTGGTCGCTTGATTGAGGAGTACATTGCTAATGGAACTCTGCCAGACGTTTATCGTCCGCTGTATATGAATGATATCGACGCTGGCCAAGAATATTGGAGTCGACTGAGGACGCGGGATCGGGCCCTGCAGACGAGGCTCAAGTATGATCCCGCGGGATTCTTCCAAACGCGGACCAGTGGGTTTCGCTTGTCCTAATAGATGGACTGCCTTAGTTGCGATTCTGTGTTGTTATCAATAAGGATTAATTTAGTATCCTTGCATCATCAGTCCAACAACTGCTTCATGTATCCACGGTATTTTTGTTCATTCCAGAAAACTACGAAAATAAAATAGAGAGAGAAGGGATAAACATTACCTTGAGCAACCTTACCTACCATTTTGGGAATACGGGAGAGTCACGCGTTGAGTCTCAGCCTTGTTCAATGTCGCAATCTCAATCCGCATCTGCTCGAGCGTTTTCTGAAACTCGTTTGACTATTCGACATCAGCCTATAATGTGCGCAAATCCGACCATTCATGTATAATCTTACTGGGTCATGGAGAACAGACGGCCCTCGGATGGTTTGTCCAACGACCTATGGAGCGAGATACGGGTTTTGCTCAAAGAGCAAAATGAACGACTACGTATCCAAAATAACCTGCTCAAGCGACTTCTTCTCGAGAGAGACAATGGCACTGGGACTGGTACGAGTAATCATAACCTCCCGGATGCCGATAAAAAGAATCAGTCCATCGAGGATGCGCCCCAACTCGATGGAAGAAACAAGTCACACACCTCCTTGAAATCCTGCCTGAAACGTGACAACAGTGACTTTGAGTTTCAAAACAAAGGACATACTGTTCTTTACGCTGCAGATGAAACTTTCAAGTATCCTCGAGTCTATTATTTTGTCGATGAGCGGCATCCACCTCGCCTCCACAGACTGTCGACAGGCTTGAGAGCTGACTCCTCATGGAAATATTGTGAGTACAGAGATACAATCATCTTCGTGTTGAGAGCATGGATCTGACGTACGCTAGGGAAGCCTGTTGCCCCCGGAGGAATATCCCATCCAGAACAGTATCAATCCTATCCTGGTGCAGGATATCCTGACTATATTCCTGAATGGGAGATTAAGCGTGCCGGCGATGGATGGTATCATATTGATGGTGCGAAATTGGAAGACGAAGTTCATGTTCCTCCCGACAGCCTTTACAGTGGAAAAGCACGGTTGGTTCCTTATTCACTCAATTGTAGCACGTCCCTTCCATCCGAATGGGCATGTGAGCCATGTGCAACTTTTCATGGTGGTTCTGGGAAGGACATGGTCGGCATCATACAAGTGCTATTGAAAACCCTGGGAAACCTCTACGCTGTCCCTTGCGACGGCAGACTGCAATTCGCGTTTGATCGATGCCACCTGAGGAGTCTCAGCCCCTCTGGTCTGAGTTCGCACTTGGAGCAGCTCCAGCTGTTCTTCAAGACATTAAAGGCAAGCAACGGTCGTGTTCAGATTGTTGATGTGGACGATTGGATGCACGCGGCCATATACGAGCGCGTCACTGCATATCCTGAAGAATGGAAAGTAATCCTGAGGAGTAAGGATCCAAGAATTTTGGCCGTCCCTGCCTTGGAGGCAGACCTCCGCAAAGTCAATATTCGACCAACGCGGTTTTACTACAAGAGCGGAAACGGTAAGCCGACAGAAGTAAAGTGGAGGGAAACAGGCCATTGGAATCGCATCATCAGCTGCATTGGCTTGAACGCTGTAGCGCCATCGTTTGAGTATGGACTTGACGGGCTCTGTCATACACTCTTTCGCAGTTGTACTGGTGAAAAGTTTCAATACGCGGACCTGGTGCCAGGAGTTCTGCGGACACATATTTCCTGCGTTAAACGGAGGCGATCGCGCAACGATGCCGCTGATGCTCTAGAACCTTTCCACATTACTTGGTGCCGAATCGATGGCACAAAGCCCTTAAGCAAGTCGACATGGAGGTCTGGAGAGCTATATGGGTCAAAGGGCTCAACAGGTACGCTGTATTTGTCCGAGGTCGCTTTCACATTGGGCTTCATACCATCTCAACGGACCCTCTGGTCCAGTACACAGAATGGAAAGACAGAGAATATGGATCGCAGTCATTGGTGTCTTATACATCTCGCACCATCACACTTTGGCCGCTTAGATGAATCAATTCACCGTCGCAGGCAGGATGACCCACGGACTGGCCCATTCACCACAGCAATCACGCTGATAGAAGAGGCACTGCTGCACGCGGCCAACGATTGGGACCGCATTGCCAACCACTTTGACCTTGTTCTCAACCAGAACGATAGTATTTTTGATCCTGAACTTCATGATCGCTTTCTGTTCGATGATGCTTCGTTTTCCCGGTCGCGGTACTATTTCTGGCTGATGGACAGTTTGGAGGGCTTCACATCCGCCGTGTCGGATACTATTCATGAATGGGAGGTATACTGGTGGGCTAGAAAGGACGTATTCGAAGATTACGAAGCATTCTATCTGGACAAGTGGCGGAATACCAAGGTTGAATTGGGATCTCCGAAACCTCCTCAAGAACCCCCACGACTGGAAAATTCAGTCAAGAGGGTAGAAACGCATGTTGGACGGTTGAGAGAAATTTTGAGCCGGCTCGAGATTTTGCGCGATCGAACCATGACCTTACGCGACGGAGTAAGTACAGCTTGTTTGTGTTCCAGCTATTCGCTGGCTGACCTGTAGTAGTTATTCAATGCGAGCACTGTCATCGAATCGCGGGCTGCTACCCAGCTTGGTGAAAACGTCAAACTGCTCACATACGTGAGCATATTCTATCTCCCGCTAAGTTACTGCGCTGCTTTATGGAGCATCAACCGAGATTACAACTTAGTGGCATTCGCCATTGTCACTGCTCTTCTGGCTCTGGGCACGTATGCTCTGGTGCTGAACCTGAACGATATTGTGTTTCTGATCAGGAAGGCCTACCGAAAGCTGCGTACCCCTATATTGGAAGCAATGAAAAATGACTCGCATGAACAATGGGCTGATTTGGGCAGCGCTTTCAGTGGATTCATGCCTGAGAGACATGGTGATCAGCCCTCGGAGTGGACGGTTCTGCTGTACGCGGTATTAATGGCTACAGAGAAGTTAAAATTCTGGAAAAGAGGCCACTCCAATCCCGCGTAATGATGGACTCGAACGAAAGTGAACCCTGATCTGCCTATCTCTACCAAGACAACAGCATATCTGTCTAAAAGCCAACTGAGACCTGATATCCCTGATCTGTCGTCCGAATATTGAAGTTCACCTTTCCAACGCAATCTCCATACTCATAAGGCTTGTGCACCTGACCCGATCCGGCCCCGGGAGTGCTCGTCGTAGGCGCTCCAAACGTCACATTGGTATACGGGAGCGAGCTACAGAGATGGCTCGGCATGGCGTTCCACAGATAATACTCAACGAATCCAACCTGGCTGCTTTTGATTCCTCCAGCACCACTCGGCAATGTGTACGACCCGACATGTGTCGACTTGCCGCTCGCGGTGTCGACGAGGGTTGCCGTCCAGGTGGTACCGGCTGTGTTCTTGACCACAAGGTCATAGAGTGGAGCATATGGTGCTGGGATTTCTACAGCGCAGCTGACACCTGCACCGCCGTCTGCGCCATCGTGGCAGTTGGGGTCGGTACTCGTGGTTCCGGGCACGAAGCTGGAGAAAACAGCGTGGACGATGCTTGAACCGGAGGCATCGGGACGGGGTTGGAGACCGGTATATCCGACATCGGAGAGACCGTTGAAGGCGAATTGCTGTGCGAAATAGTAGCCAGTCTCATGAGGGGCATTAGCCATCGAAATGGGAAATATGATGTCCTTCAGGCCAGAGGAGGGAGTGTTGGAAAAGCTCCAGCTCAGACCAACGAGGGCCTGCGTAAAGGGGATAATAGCAAGGACGACGGCTGTCTTCATTGTCAGAGACTGGATATATTGAAGAGAGATTACCGAGGAAGGATTGAATACATGAGCTTCGGGCTCCTCCGTAGGTACCTGGGTCGAACAATTTGAATTTATACCCGACTCTGGTCTCGCTTCCAGCGATTCCACTTGTGAGTTGTCACCGTGAATCAATAGTTCCCAGTGTGCCGCTCGCCAAATCGATAGCCGATGTCGATCTTGGGGATCCGCATGTAAGGGACGCTCGTGATATTCCACTTTCAAGCAACATTATCTCTGGCAAAACAATGACGTTACATTCAAAAGTTCACAAGCGGGTCTGTTCGTGTGCGGCTGCCTTTATTCTCGATGATGGTGACATTCGGGACCGCTTATCTCGTAACAAATTGTACACTGATTCTGACGGCTGTTTTACTTTTGTTTCAGAGTGAGAGGAGCAAGCGGGCAACTTTGATCAAGAAATCAATTACGTACCTGGAAGAAGATGATGCATGCTCTGGTTCGGCAGGCTGCAATCACTGGAAAGATCACCAGATGGCTATCTACTGCCATCTCGAAGGGACCGTAAGCGTCCACAAAACTCTTCTTCTCTTCGATCGACAAAAGCTATTTCTCAGCTGCAAATGCGGCTGGCGCTCACAATTTATTAAGAGCTATGATGCGCCTTGAAAAGATCTGCAGATCGCACCACCACCTATGGTCTTGGACATCGCTGGAAGTTTGCCGCTGACAAGGCTGCAGGTGGCTGATTGATCACACAAGACAGCGCATGACCAAGCCGACGCATGGCCACGTCGGTTAATTGATGCCTTTGTGAAAGAATATAATTAGAGTCTGCGCGCTTATTCCCAGTCCATGCCCATTATGAGAAGAGAAGTCCTCGCTCAAGCGGCTACTGCGGCCTCATGATTGGCCCCTGGTTAACATGAGGCAATGGTTAGGCATCAACCTGGGATATATGAATGCTTAAGCTGGCTTTATAGTCAGATCGACTTTAATGAAGTACAATTTATACACTGATAGCAGTCAGCCTACGCCAGAAGAGCCACATTTTACAAGCCTGTCTCGCGACAGCCAATTCAAGCCCGAACCCATATATAGGTGTTGAGCCTCTGCCACTGCTGTTGGCAAATTATTTGAAATGCGACCCCGACACCGCGACGAGTTCGATATCGCCATTATTTGCAGCTTATCCTGTGAAGCCGAGGCGATCGAGGCATCGCTGGACGAGGTCTACGACCGATTCGGCGAGATCTACGATAAGGTACCCGAGGATCGTAATGTCTATATCAACGGACGAATTGGCAAGCACAATGTGGTCTTATGTCAAGTGCCAGAGCCGGGAAAATGCAGCTCAGCGAGCGTAGCTTCGAGTTTGATATTCAGTTATACAGGTATCCAGCTCGCCCTTGTCGTTGGGATATGCGGCGGTGTTCCCTCGCCGTCCTGCAGTGAGAAAGAGATTTTCTTAGGAGACATCGTCATTGCGGATAGTGTGATTGAATTCGACGTTGGAGAGCAGTGTCCTTGGGGATTCCAGCGGGAAACGAGCGTTAAGGCTGTCCTTGAAAGGCCGAACAGAGCCATAAGAAATCTCCTGGATGCTCTATCAATTGACGGAAACCGCGCATTAATGGAGACGGAGAGTGCTGGCTTCTTGAAAGAGCTACAGTCCAGAGGAGGTCCAAAGTGGCAGTATCCCGGAGCATCAAAGGATATCCTTTTTGCGTCTGCATATCAACACCAGCATCGCCGACGGTCTGTTTGCATTAACGGCGGATATGAGGATACGCTCTGTAAGGACGCACTGGAGGAAGAATGCTACATCCCTGGATGCGCTAAGCAACAAGTCCATCGCGGCAGGTCCAGCGAAGAGTCAGTCAAGCCTGCACTCCATATCGGGATGATCGCATCAGGAGACACGGTAATGGAGTCCGGAGAACACCGTGACAGGATTGCGGAGACGGAGGGGGTAATCGCCTTTGAGACCATCGGGGCAGGAGTGTGGGATACTCTTCCCTGTGTGATAATCAACGGCGTATCCGACTATGCCGATGGCCGTAAGAATGAAGTATGGCAAAACTATGCAGCGGCAGTAGCTGCTTCAGGTGCTAAAGCGTTTCTGCAATACTGGGCACCCAGTGCGAAAGCTAGTAAGTGAGCAGAATACAAGTAATTTTGCATATGCTGACCCACTTAAAGAATCTCAGAGCGTCCATTCAAGAGTACCAGTGCTTCAGACAGCCTTTATAGGCCGAGAGATTGAAGTGAATGAGATGAAAGAGGAGCTGGGAGATCCTAGACTGGGAAGAAAAGGGATAGTGCTCTGGGGGCTTTGTGGATACGGAAAAACGCAGTTGGCCATCCATTATATCTCTGTGAGAAGAACGCTTTATGATTCCATTTTGTGGATTGATTGTTCGTCTTGGGGCACTCTCCATGATTCCTTCTCTCAAATATGGAGAAAAATACAAGGATGTGCACACGACGAGCAATCACCAATTGAGAGGGTGTTGGAGTGGCTGGAGCAAGAAACAAATCCGATTTGGATCATGGTATTTGACGGAGTTGAGACCACGGCTACTTCAACATCTATGGATATCGACATTAGGAAGTACATCCCTTCGTGCAATCATGGGCATGTCCTGTTGACAGCCCTATCACCGTGCTTGCACGCTCGGCTGGGCTATCCAGGCATACAGGTACGAGGTGTGGATGAGGACGCAGGTGCTCAGATACTACTGCGCTGTGCAGGCGTTGAAGAACCAGACTCTCCAGGTAAGCCTACGACAAGTGATATGCGTTGCATCGTATTGACATGGCTATTTAGCCGTGGAAACGGCCAGGGCAATTTCCCGCAAAGTTGGCGGACTGCCCCTTGCTTTGGAACAAGCAGGATCCTTCCTACGATGTGGATTATATTCCTTGCAAGAGTACAATAGGCGGTTTCAGGAACAGTTTGCAAAGTCGACTTTCAAGACCCCGCTGCATCATTGTATCGGAGCATACGAAAAGGGACACACTTTGTGGACGGTGTTCAAAAAGCTGTACGATGCTGCAGGCCAGCGAAATCCCGATTCGATCAAACTTCTCCATCTGGCTGTGTTTCTTGGCCCCGGACTAATACCGTCCTCTCTGATCATGTACCCACCAGGTGATCCTAACAAGTACTCAGTGTTATTCAACTCACTGTCTGCATTGGAATCAGCTGATACATCGTGGTTGAAGATCATAAACTGGTGGAACAGCCTACGCTCACGAGAGACTGATTTCGCAAATGCGCTTCAAACTCTGGAGGATTCCGGTCTTGTAAACTTCAACCGCAAGCGATCAGATTCCATGATTGAGAGCTTTGAAATCGATGGTATGGTACAGTCCTTCGTTCGCCTGAAACTGTCTTGCCATGGTCTGCGAGACAATGCAGCCGTTGCTTTTCTTTTCAATGGACAGTATTGTGCGGGTATAGACGCCCAATCGCAGCTGGAAATACCTCAGGAGCATCTGCGGCGCTTGTGCACCGTTCTTGACGATTTTATGTCATTGATACCGCTAGAGATGATTCAGCCTCCTGACGGCAAGTATTTCAGGCTCTGTGGCTCTGTTGCACCAGCATATGCACGAGTGTGTCGCCTGAAAGGGGACTATGAGACATCCAAGACTTTTTGGGTCCTAGCGCTGCAGTTTATAATCCTATCTCAGAGAGCAGAATTGCCCACAAGTGGAGCGAAGCTGGAAGGAATTGACGCAGCTGCAGACGCTCTCTTGGCTGTAGACGAAAGTTCCATTGAGGTAGCCTGGAAGCGAGCCTGTGAGAGTATCGCATTGTCTCCGGCAGCTCGTGCAAGAAAGGGGGACTTCGGAAGCGGAGCATTACGACATGACCCTGTGGCCGAGCCTATGCCCTCGACGGGACTTGGTCGAGAAACCTCTGAAGGGTTTACAAGCTGAAATTAGAGAACTAGGTTAGGCCGACGCTTGCAATAAACCGCAGTGACTGTTTATGATAGATCTTATTCAATGATAGCCGTGGGATGGGATATCTCATAGTGTATCAAATGTCCTATAGTGGTATAGGGAGACAGTCTAAGACCATACCCAATCATTCCATTCCCCTACTGCGCCGAATTAGCCTTCTGCACATTTGAAAGCCTCTGTAAAACTTCTTCTTGCACAACCTGGACAATCGTCTCAGCGTCCTTCACTTCATGAATCAGCCCAATGGCAGCCCCAGCATACGTCGCCAGTCTTCCCTCCGGTCCCCAGCCGGCATCTCCAGCCTTGAGAGCCTCATCATGAAGCTCCTTCAGCTCATCAAACGGCCGACCCGCCTGATGCTCAATAAACGACTTGTTGATAATCGTCCGAGGACTATACTCCTCTGGCCAGCCCACCGTACCCCGAAGCCGGTTATACAGCAACGTCCTTGTCGTCGAGACCGCTCCATTACTAGCCCGCACAATCTCCCTCTGATAACCCGGACTAATCCTCGCCTCCGTAGCAGCAAGGAACCGCGTCCCCATCACCACCCCCGTAGCCCCAAGGCACAGCGCCGCCGCGGCGCCACGCCCGTCAGCTATTCCCCCAGCTGCAAACACAGGGATGTGCGCTGGAAGACAGTCCATCATCTCGGGGAGGAGTGTCATAATTCCCAGACCGTCATTTGCCCGCCCGTGTCCGCCTGCTTCTGCCCCCTGCACGACAATCACGTCTGGTTCTTCACTGCCCTGTGCGAGCTCCCTTGCTTCGGCTAGCGTGCCGATCTGGATCCAGATACGGGTGGATGGGGATGCATGCCGGATCCGCCGGGACCAGGTATCTAGGTCTTTTTGTCCGTTGCGGGGGGCGAAGAGCCAGGCGGCGCAGGGCTGGTATTTGGTTATTGTGGAGATGGCGACTTCGAGGTCGTCGCTCCACAGTTGGAAGCCGACGCCTACTGGGAGAACGGGTTGGTTTTGTAGTGTAGATGGTTGAGATTGGGACACAGGGAGCGATTTTATCAGGCTTGATGCTTTTTGGAGATCAGAGCTGATATCTTGAGTCTTGACGCCCGGCCCGATGAATCCTAGCCCGCCTGCGCGGGAGACAGCAACAGCTAGGGTGGGGCCGGACATTACCCGCATCGGGGCACTGACGATGAACGGAGTTTTCATCCATGGATATGAACGGGAGATGGTTGTGATGAGTTGAGACATCTTACTCGTAGACATGCGCGGTAGGAGATGGTTTCCTCAGCGGATATAAGTTATGATGTTGGCTTACGTGAGTTACAATGAGTAAGAAAGAAATTAAACTGTCTCAATGCCGAGGATATCTGTCAAGATCGGTGGGGAGTTCAATCAGCAGATATGATTGGTCATTATTCCGGAATGAAAGTACCCCAAGGTAATATACTGCTGGAGTAAAAGATGACACTGTCTCAGCGCACTTTGACGGACAAGTTGGAACAACCGTTCTAGGAGGTGGTAGGCTTTCGTCCATGCGTGAGACAGCGTGGATGTACGAATTTCATTCCATCCGTCGCCAACTGGAGTCCCAATGCAGATATCGAAGAGAGGAAATATCACCTGCTAAAAGAGAAAGACAAGAGTAGACAATCGGCGTGTTAATCTATGGTAAGAGAGTCCATTAATTACTTGATATATACCTTCTCAAACATCCTCCACCTCTCCTCCATCAACCCCCTCCACTTCTCATCCTTATCCAGATTCAAAAACCTCAACGCATTTCCCGCGAGAATCTCAGCCCGCTGTCTCCAAGTCAAGAATCCCTCTAACCGTCCATCTTTTGCGATCATCCTCCCAGCCTCCGGCACCTCCCCAAGCGGAAACGGATAATCACTCCCCATGATCATCTTATGCGCCCCAACCTTCTTAACCAGATACTCCAGCAGCTCAACATCATGCGTCAGACTATCAATCCAGATATTCTCGCGCACAGTCGCATGCTCAGTAGGCGTGACTCCCCCCGCGTCCCCCGCCACCAGATCCGGCCGACAGTCATACCCATGCTGGATCCTTCCCAGTAACGCGGGGAACGAACCCCCCGCATGCGCAAAACACAGCCTCAGCGTCGGAAACTTCAGCAGAGTCCCAGAGCAGATCAGCAGATGTAATGCTAGCGCCGTCTCGCACGGCATCCCGATGAGCCAACTACTCCAGTACTTTGCCCAGCGGCGCGGATTCTCCTTCGGCCAGGTGTAGCCGAGCGGATGCACGAAGACGGGCATGTTCAGTTCCTCGCATGCAGCCCAGAAGGGATGCAGGGTTGGATCGTCGAGTGTCACCCCGTCGATTGTGGTTCCGATTTCGACGCCGTGGAGACCTAGCTCGTGCTTTGCGCGGTGCAGCTCTGCGACGGCGGCGGGGACGTCTTGTAAAGGCACGGTTGCGAGGCCGAGGAACCGGGTGGGATGTTGGTGGCAGACGGAGGCGATGTGGTTGTTTAGGTGTCTAGCGAGGAGGGTCACGGGGGCAGAGGGCTGGTCGTAGAAGAAGAGGATGGGGATCGTGCTAAGGACTTGCACATCTGTCCCTGCGGCGTCCATCTCGGCTAGTCTTGTTGCCGTGTCGTAGCAGTTTTTCTCGACGGTGCGGAAGAAGCGGTCGCCTATGTACATGTCTACTTCGTCTGGGTTGGTGGGATTTGGACGGAGGGTGAGCCATGGTGATTCTGAGGCTGATGCGGTGGAGGAATCTGAGGATGAGGACGATGGGGGAGGAGTGTTGGAGGAATATGAGGAGAGGTCGGGGAGAGAAGGGGGCATAATATGGGTGTGCATGTCGATGCGGAGGAGGCGGTGGTTTGTACAGCAGCTTCCCATTTTGATGTTGGCAGTCAATTATTATGATTATGATGGATATCTATTGATGACGATGTTGATGAAATTGGAGAGGACAGATTATCTACCCCAGGTATCCCGATCCGTATTATATGCGGGGCGTATACGGATCCCATCCGGATAGCATCCGATGCATTGATAAATACCAAGCAGATATCATCGGACATGCATTACAATCAGCATCCAGATCAACATGACGACCCTCAATCCTTTGTCCTGGGCCACCTGGCTGGCCGAGAATGAAGACAAATTACGACCCCCGGTCAACAACCGCTGTCTGTATCAGGGGAATGACTTTATCCTGATGGCAGTGGGAGGGCCTAACGAACGAAATGACTATCATGGTACGATCTTCTAGATATGAAAGCACCGTGACTGACAGCTCTAGTGAATGAAACCGAAGTATGTTTGCAGTGGTATAAGCTGAGCTAGACTAATGAGCAGGAATGGTTCTACCAAGTCAAAGGCGACATGCTTCTCCGGATTATAGAGAACGATGCATTGCGCGACATCCCTATCAAAGAGGGAGAAATGTTCCTTCTTCCAGGTACGTAGTCCAAATTCCAGTCGATCATGCTGACACAAGTAGGAAACACGCCCCACAACCCAGTCAGATACAAAGATACCATCGGTCTGGTCATGGAACGACGTCGACCGGCGGAATCTCGTGATCGCCTGCGATGGTACTGTACCAAGGGAAATCATTCCTCGCCTACGATCATCCGCGAGGAGGTCTTTCACTGCTCAGACCTTGGGACACAACTGGAGCCAATCATTGAGAGGTGGCGGCAAGATGAGGAGAGCCGAAGATGCGGGGAATGTGGTTGTATTGCAGATCCCAAGTGAAGCTCTTACACATAGTTTCTTCGAAGCTAATAAATATGATGTTATACACAAATCAATCTCCGTATCCGCTCCCGGGCCCACTGAAATGCGGGGTACGGATCTATAGATAAGAACCACTGTAGAGAGACGGATGCACTTCCGGCATTTATATCAGTCAGGTATTATGTACAATAACCTACATGTCATGTATAGAGAGTAGACAATGACTCAACCATGGGACTATGCTTCAATCGAAGCCGCCGAGTCTCTCCTCCAACAGTCGTCCTTTGGACCCTTCCACCTGCAAAACCTCATCAATGGCGCCCAAACACCCTCCACCAGCAACGAATGGCTAGACTCCTTCAACCCCAAAACCGGGCAAATATTTGCTCGGATTCCAAATAGCTCAGCCCAGGACATCGAAGACGCAGTGCAAGCCGCCGAGTCCGCCTTCGCATCATGGTCGCAGACTCCCCCGTCAACGCGCGCCGCGCACCTGAATCGCATCGCCACACTCATCGAAGAACGCCGCGAACTCTTCGCTGTATGGGAGAGTATCGACCAGGGGAAGACTCTTGCACGGGCAAGGGTGGAGATTGACCGCGCTATCTCTAACTTCAGGTACGTCCTTCGCGGAAGGCTGGAGATAAAGCTGATGGCACAGGTACTTCGCGACGTACATCCAGCAACAAAAGACCGCTGCGCGCTGGACGGACGATAATGTACTCACATACGAGCACCGCTCCCCGATTGGGGTCTTTGCGCTCATCTCGCCGTGGAATATGCCGCTGTACCTGTTGACCTGGAAGATCGCGCCATGTCTGGCGTTTGGGTGTACGGCTGTTGCGAAACCGAGCGAGGTCACTAGCGTTTCTGCGTATTGTGAGTTCTCTATCAGGATTTGGGGTAATGCTAATTGGATAGTACTTGGAAAGGTAATCCAAGATGCGGGACTTCCTCCCGGAGTCCTGAATCTCGTTTATGGGGCGGGCAATCCCACCGGATCGGCTTTGGTCAGGCATCCCCGTGTCAGGGGTGTTTCGTTCACCGGTGGTACAGCGACTGGTATTCAGATCCGGAGGGGTACCGTCGAGGATATAGGGAAGCATATCTCGCTTGAGCTTGGCGGGAAGAATCCTACGTTGGTCTTCGAGGACGTTGATCTTACTGCCGCTGTTGCGACGGCCGCAAGGGCTGCATTCGAGAATCAGGGAGAGGTACGAGTACTTGCCTTACCAAATACCTCTGACAAAACTGACAAAATAGATCTGCCTATGTGGTTCGAGGATCTACGTCCAAAACTCCATCTACGACGCCTTCCTGTCCCGCTTCGTCGCCTATGTCAAGGAGCACTACGTCGTCGGCCAGACCGTCGGCGCCGTCGTCTCCCTCGCCCATTACCGCAAGATCCGCTCGTATCTCTCCCTAGCCATCCAATACGCTGATGGCTTCAAGCTCGGCTCGGTGCCTCCGGAGACACCGGACGGAGGCTACTGGATCGAACCGACCATTCTTACTGTTCCGGACGACAGCCCGATCATGAAGGACGAGATATTCGGCCCAGTGGTGACAGTCAGCTCATTTGAGAGCGAGGAAGAGGTAATCGCGCGCGCCAATGATAGCCAGTATGGACTAGCCAGTATTCTCCTGACGCGGGACGGAGCTCGCATGCGACGGGTCGGCGAGCGGCTGGACGCAGGAATGGTGTGGGTGAATTGCTGGCTGGTACGCGAACTGGGCACGCCGTTTGGAGGAATGAAGGCGTCAGGTACAGGACGGGAGGGAGGCGATTACAGCCGAGATGTATTTACTAATGTGCGGACGTTGCATATTCCTTCCGTTTAGTCTGTCTAGTCTATGTACATCATTTAGACATGCTATAGCTCAACGACAGCTGTGCATTTAATCTCCACCAATAACCTCGGATTTGGCAGCTCCTTAACCCCAATCGTCGTCCTAGCTGGTGCATTCGCCCGATCCGGCCAGACCTTGTTCCACTCCTCGTTCATCCCGGCGTAATTCTGCGGCAGGTCGATCAAGAAAACCGTCGCGTCGACGATGTTCTGCAGCCCGCCGCGACCGTTCGTCGCGCCGTGGATGATGCTCTCGATGTTGCGCAGTACTGCGGCTGTTTGGACGCGAATATCGAGTGTCCAGGTGCCGTCTGCGTGTTCGGTCACGCCGTCCCAGGTGCCGTCACCGCGGCGGGACGAGGTGCCGGAGACGTAAAGGGTGCGGTGCGCGGTTGTGGGTGCGAAGCGCGCGTGAGGGTAGTTTGCTAGGCCTTGGGCTTTTTCGGCGGGTAGAAAGTAGGGAGTTCCGTTGGACATTTTGAGGATTTTGAGATGCGATGGTTGGTGAGATGATCTTGATGAGGGGAGACCGAGGTTACGGTTGCTTATTATAGACTCGGAACCGGATCCGCCCCGGATGTTATCCGGATAGAGCGGGATTATGTTCGGCATTGGGACAGTGGTGAACAGTCATGACAAATCTATTGTCTATCATACCAATTTAGCTTCTATGTAGGTGAGTCTGCACACTGCCACAATGTATTCAACGGGCAGTGGCTCTGAGGTGTAACTATATGCCTAGCGTCCATATCTGCGGATGTCACAAAGTTGAATCCGGCCGTACGTCGATCCATCGGGTGAGCTGGCAAGCGCAAGGGAACCTAAACTGTGCCCGCCGCTGCCTGGAACCAATGATTGTACGATAGCGGTAGTTTGATAACCGTTTCTGTACCAACGAGTCCGCCGTCAAGGCAGACTGTCTCTGGGGGCCCGGGGCACGGGGCACGGGGGCACATACCCCCTCACTCCACGCGCATCTCTGAGGATATGAAGTGGTGGGCGGTTGGTCTGTATCAATCTGGGCACATAAACTTCCGCCTAATCATCCTAACCGTAACCCTGATTGCCAGACTGACAGAATGGGTCTTGCCGGCCGAGTGACCTACGGCGCCGACGTGGTCATGCAAATGGATGATCTGGCCCACAAGGAGTCGCATGGAAGTGGACCTTATCAGCTCGTGTATGTTGATGTTGCCATTCCAATGCAGACATCGTCAAGCGACCTTTGATCGGGAAAAACATCCTGCTAACGAGGGTTCTTCTGCAACGTATCCTGAAAGCGATCCTGGCGATATTTGGCGGCAGGGAGTAACGACCAACTTGTCATGGCGATATGATGCCAACAGTGCTGGACCACGGTTATGCACCAACGAGCAGCCATTTCGATAGATATAGACAGACTTCAAGGGAGAGGTGCTGCAGTCGGAGATGACCTCACATTGGCCGCGGTGGTCTCATCACTTGAAATCCCTTCTCCTTTGTCTTCTTCTGTTTGAACCGCTCGGTAGAACTGCGTTTCCAATTCAGGAATGTCTGGCGACTCGACTGCCCCTCGTCCGGGCTTTCATTTGATGACTCTTGTGACGGCCCCGACTCACCACGACGCGAGCCATAATACAAATCCGACTCACGGAATGAATAGTCGATGCCCGACTTTCTCGGCAACTGTAACAGCTCGTCAAAGGCGTCGCTTGAATGTTGCGACGAGCTGGAATCTGTCTGCGGCGACTCGGATGACTCGAAAACCGAACTGATGGAATCAGGGTTTGTATTCTCGTACTCGTAAGAAGCGACTCTGGCATTGAGTGATCGCGGAGGTCTGTAAAACGTCGAAGTGTTTGGTGAATATGGTGCTGTTGCTTCTGGCAAATTAGGAGAGTTCGGCATATCCGGACAGCTCTCAAAACCTCTGTAGATTCTGCGCGAGGAACCTGGACGGTAGCGATCGGAGATGCTGTCGAAGGAGTTGACCTCTAAATCCTTTCCGTCCAAGTTCCGGCGTTTGTCACTTGGGCTTGAGAGGTCGGCGAGATTCAAATGCTGGACACAAGTAAGCTCGCTGGAATAGTACCTTAAGGCAGATTCGAGACTAACCGGAACTTTACTTGAACCCACCCATCGATCGTCGGCAACCCTACGATCAAATCCTTTAATGGCGAACCGTCCTATATGCCAGACCGAGATGAACAAAAAGCCGAACACGACTACCACACCATGCAGAACCAAGATGAAATAGCCGATCCATTGTCTTGTTACTTCGCGAGACGGGCACACAAAGGCAACACTCAAGATGAGCGTCAACAAGCGGACAGCAGTACACCAGGCACTTTTCGAAAGCATAAATTTCGTCCGTCGCTGAAGAATGAGGTGGGCGAGAATGATCAATTCGCATCCGCCGAGCAGGAGCAGCTGCACCCAGCCCCAGAGCTGCAGACCGCCGATGGCTAGACCTTGCATGAGTGGAAGGCAGTAAAGAAGATAATGGGCGATATATTCCATGGCGGTGTCAAACCGAGGGGAAGCCTTGGACGAGTTGTGGTCAGATCTCCTGGGCTTCTGTTTCGTCTGATAGCGAGCGACGAAGAGATTCGAGCCGACGAGGACCCCAATCATCAAGACCATCAGACAAATGCGATAACTGGGCAGTTCTGCGACGAGGACAAATGGATACGCCAGGTACGCCAAGAGAGGCAGGCTGAAGAACAGAAGCGTGACGCCCACAATGCTATGGCATGCTTCTGGGATTTGCACAAGGACAGTATCAAGTGATACGCCATGTCGCGATCCGGACTTGAGTAGCCATCCCACCAGCAATATAACCACGATTGCAGACACGACAATGCACAGATTTATCAGAGCGTCGAACATGATATCTAACATGGAGGGAAATCCGAGATTCTGCGCCATGTACTCCAGTCCACAAGTACCGTTGGTCGAGTAAATTCCGTCTTCTATCCCGGGATACCTGAAGCCGTGGTCGATGGGTCCGCTCCAAAATAACAGCGATGACCACGCCAGTTGGCTGACGATAGGCTGGAAGAAACCCGGGTATTGCATCGTGAGGGAACCAGTCAGGAAGATGAACTGGAGGTACCGCACGTAGTCGGCCACGTCGACCACAATCTTTCTTACTGAATCCTGAGGTGTGGGTGCGGTTCCGTGCTCCGGCACTGAGCGTCTTCGCTGCTGCGTGTGTCTGCACCACGAAGCCATGCCCACCAGGAGGATAATGGCGGCTGGAAGGTAGGTAAAGGCTGCCGAGGAAGCAGCCCCAATGTCGGGAGTGATTCGGGCAGCCGTACAACCAATATTAGTGCCATTACGTAGACTGAATTCAAATTCCCCGGCAAGAGTTTGAAGTGGACGACCATATGCAAGGGAGTAGGTCAACTCCCATTTGGAGACTTGTAGAGACTCCGGCCTGATGACAGTTCAGCAGAGATCGGAGAGATTCAGGGCCCTAAACTTACAGCCTCCAAAGAGCCGGAGGTGAATAACACAGCTTTTGAATCCGATCTAGACGGCCAACTGGGTAGCCGAGCACTCGGAAGCGCAAGTCATGCTCCTCCGTCAATTGAACGTCGGTACAGGTAACCTGTGATGCATTGTAGAAACCCAGCAGGGTCAATGACAATGTGCTTGCACCTTGGGAGCTATGAATATAACCATGTATGCTGTCAATGTGGAGATTAACGGCCGACGAGCGGTTCAAGACTGAGGTCTCGCATGGAGATCGCCGTACAAAAGCACCTTCACATTGTAATATGAACACAAAAAGGAAGATCAGAAGACAACGAAGAGAATATGACCCAGGCAGCATTCTACTATGGCGACAGCATAGTCTTCCGGCATTACGGAGTAGATAGGAGAGAGACTGATCCTGCATGATCTGCGTCCATGAGATGAACTCTAGTTTGTTGTCGACATTACTCCTTAACGTTTTGCCCCTGAAGGCAGAAGTTTTCTGCGGGTGGATACTCCGTATACCGGGTTTCTCCGCCATCCCAAATTATCAACCACTTGAATTCGACATTTTCAAGACCCTTATGGGGCAGTGCAGTCGCTAGCCAAAGCCTATCTTTCTCCGGATCTTCTTATTGGCTCCATTTTTTGATCTGCAAGAATCGAGGGATCGCAGAACACAACAAGCTGCATAAACTGCATCTTATGCCTCAGTACTCCGTAGATGGCGTCACATGATCTGACACACGTGAGAAACCCCAGAGTCACCTGACTAGAAGCGTCAGGTGACTTCCTCGGACTGCCTAAGGCTGCCAGGCTGCCAGGCTGCAAAGCTTCCTCCTATCCTTGCATCAACACTGGCAAAGATTACAAACGGCCTTCTGCGATAGTCGCACAATGACCAGTTAAGTAGCGAATTTACGCCTTCAAGCTCAAGTATGAAGAACTCAACAGATCTTGGACAATCTGCAAGTCAGGAACCTCATTTGTATGCAACGTATAACTGGAGAGGCTCGGTTTGCCATACTCCAATATGATGTAGTCGTGAGATCCATCTTCTCCAGTACGGCAAAGTTGAGAGCCTGACTCTCCGAGATTCCTTGGCACATCGTCTCCAACTACCTTGTCCGTTGATTCCGAGATGATATCGTCATGCTTCTATCCGACCACATTGACGATCCTCGCAACCTCTTACGTACAATCTTCTGTGCGACGATCCTTCTTGAGTGTGGGATGCGGAGTATGGGGTATGCAAGCCTGCATGATCAACCTTGAGGGCATCAGAGGAGAACCTCAGCAGTGTTGGGTAAGAAGAACGTCGGCGCCAAAAGTTCGCAAAGAAAGACCACATTACAACAGGAGTCCTTCAGGAAAGCAACACCAGCCACTAACCCTGCGCAGAATTGCAAAGCCTGGGTTCCTAGTTGTCAATGTAAAGGGAACTTCCCGTCGGAGCTGACGGAGAAATATGAGCAAAGCCTTATCGGGTCATACTGGAGATGATCTGCGCTGATGATGAAGGTGGCAAGTATATGATCATAATTCTAACAAGCATTAATCAACAAAGCATTTATTTGTTGCTGATCGGTACCCATTTCCTCGAGCAGCATCTGAGCACCGATTGCGAGACATCTCAGCGGCGGATGCAAGTCTGCATTTCGCAGATGCAGTCCGAAGTTCTAGCCATCCCTCGACTGTTTGATTCCGCTAAGCTATTGATTTCAAATTCTTAAAATCTCTGGCATCCCGGTGGAAAAAGCACAGCATTAATAACAGTAATTCCCAGGTGGCCCTCCAAAAACGGAACTAAACCGAGGGAAGTATAACGGGCCAATGAGAGTGCCTGGAAAAAGCGGCTAGATTCGGTTGCGGCGGCAGAAGGCGAAAGTGGAGCCATTCTTCTTACTCAATTGTTGAAAGATCCGCAGTGATGATTGGATGGCGATTACTGTTAGTCACCAAAATTAAGCTCCACAGCCGCAGGATCTGTACCTTAGCAGAGCTTGAGTCGTTGCAATACAGATTAGGAAGTTGACCTAGACGATGACACTTTCCACGCCAGAAAAAGCAGCAGCCATGACACTCGGTCCATTACTGCCGATTGTGCTCCGGCATCTGGGGACTTTGTATGTCTTCTGGAATTTGTTTATCTCGTTGTTTTCTAATGCAATTACCAATCGATTTTCTCGGCCAACTGCTATCTCCGCGTTCTCCAGTCAACTCTACACCAACACCGAGATTCATTGCCACGACCCACCTGGTTGACGTCTAGAAATTTTTTCACCTGCCACTCATATCATCACATCCTCCTCTCTTTCGTCTCGTTAACTCGTCAAACAGCTCGTCCACTATCCGTTGCTGGGTAGAATTCATCCTCGTCACTGCCCATTCCGGAGCAAAAGAAGAAAGAAGACAATGATGTTGGAGGGTGTCCCCCCACCATCGGAACCCATTGAGGCCAAACAGAAAGATCAAGAGAAGGCACTTGATGATGGTGCCGACTTGAAACCAATCGACAATACCCCTTACGTTGATCCTTTCGGCGACGAGCAAAATGCAGAAGTCAAGTACAAGACCCTCAAGTGGTGGTATGTATTGCGGTCCTGATCTGTCTATGACAAGGGTGTTGATAGCTGACGGAGGACTTGTGCAGGCAATGTGGAATGTGTAAGCTACTGAATGGGAAACTGGTCCAGTCGACGTGAATCTGACGCGTCTCCTGTTTAGTTATGATCGCTGAATCCGTTTCTCTCGGTGTGCTCTCCTTGCCGGCAACTCTGGCGGCTCTCGGTCTCGTCCCGTAAGTGTACGCTTGACGGCATCCGCGCTCGTCACTAATTGCCGCAGCGCGATCATCTTGATTGTCGGCCTCGGTATCCTTGCCCTATACACGGGCTACACAATTGGACAATTCCGACAATGCTATCCTCATATCCACAACCTTGCTGATGCCGGAGAGATCCTGATGGGTCGATTCGGTCGCGAGCTATTCGGTCTGGGCCAGATTCTGTTCTCGATCTTCATCATGGGCAGTCATATTGTCACCTTTACCGTCATGATGAACACAATTACCGACCACGGCACCTGCTCGATCGTCTTTAGCATCGTTGGTATGCTCATTTGTATGGTACTCTCGTTGCCTCGGACGATCAAGAACCTGACATATATCTCCTTTGCTTGTAAGGGTGCCTTTGGTATTCCCCGGAACTGAGTGCTGACAAACTCTAGCTTTCCTGAGTATTTTCTCCGCGGTGATGATCACCATGATTGGCGTCGCCGTCCAGTTCAAGGGAGGAGCTAACATCAGTATTACCACCGAGACCAACCTCTATCACGCCTTCACTGGTGTGACCAACATTGTCTTCGCGTACTGTGCCCACGTTGCCTTCTTTGGTCTCATTGCGGAGATGGAAGACCCCAAGGAGTTCCCCAAGTCCTTGTGCATGCTGCAGTTTTTCGAGATTGCGCTCTACGTGACAGCCGCCATCGTCATCTATTACTACGTTGGAAACGACGTTGTGTCACCCGCACTGGGCTCAGCTGGTCCGTTGCTGAAGAAGGTTGCCTACGGTATTGCCATTCCTACGGTATGTACAAATCTCACCTCATCGTCTGCTGTCCGAACGCTTATAATATGATAGATTGTCGGAGCCGGTGTGGTCAACGGCCACGTTGGATTGAAATACATCTATGTGCGCATCTTCCGCAAGACTGGCCGCATGCACAAGCGCGATCTTGTCTCCGTTGGCTCATGGATTGCCATTGGGTTGAGTTGCTGGATCATTGCCTGGATCATCGCCGAGGGTATTCCTTCGTTCACCAATATTGTCAGCTTGATTGTAGGTCATAAACCTCGCCTGTTGGGATCAAAACTAATTGGACACAGAGCTCTCTCTTCGCCAGTTGGTTCAGTTACGGTCTCCCCGGTGTGTACTGGTTGCACATCAACTGGGGTAGATGGTTTTCCTCTCCTCGGAAGATCTGCTTGACTATTATCAATCTGTTGATTGTCTGTATCGGTGCCACCATGGTAAGTTTACGGACTCTGATCTAGATAATGGAGACTAATCAAAAGTAGTGTGGCCTGGGATTGTACGTCTCCGGCAAGGCTATCCATGACGACTCATCCAACACTAGCTTTACTTGCGCCAACACTGCGAACTAAGGCATGTGCACGACACGGTATCTGGTTTTGGTTAATGTTTGAAGCGTATGATGACTACACGAGAATTATATTAGATCATGGCGTCTGCGGATTCATTGGGAGGACGTTTAGATTGGGCTTGTATATAGACTTTCTTCGAATATACATGATATGCATTGCGTCTTGGTATTTCATCTTTGATCGCAGGTATCTCGCCGTAACAAGTATTCTCATACGGTTGGCCTACCAGGCATAAATTGGGCAAGGAGTGACTGTCAGTTGACTGAGGGCCCAGCAAGAATCAGTTAGGGCTTCAGAGACCAATAAACTGACCAATCTCATGAAATTATGTTTGGAGATTAAGCTAACAATAGATTGGCAAATTTAAATGACAAAGTCATAAAAAGAAATTAAATGACAAGAGTGGGATTCGAACCCACGCCATCATACGATGATGAGGAAACTCTAAGAGTTTGGTATTAAGGTGGACCTTAACCTCACGCCTTGGACCAACTCGGCCATCTTGCCTTTTGATAGCATACTGGCTCATTTTTCGCTATATGAGATAACCAGTTGTCGGTCAGATCAAGTAGTTGGGAGATTCACTTTCCGAATATTTTTGATTTGACATAGCTGGACGACCTAAACTAGCTATACTATGGCTACATTAAAGGGCCAGTGTTACGCTGACGAATAAATCGTGCAGCTAAGTTATTTCGGAAGGATTTGTCCCTGATCTGAGGTTGAGTCTGAAGGCCATTCAGATAGAAATATATTCTGTGTAGACTGTGTTACCCTGGAGGATATGTCCAATTCCAGAGATTATGAGCCCAACACAGCGGCAAGGAGTCATACACCTTAGAGTATCTGCGTTTACAAAGGACCAGTTGCAGTATCTAATGATCAGTAGGTCAAATTAAGCATGCGCATGATTACTACACTTCACCACAGTCCACAGACCGCTACACACTCCCTCCATACCTCTGCTGTCCGCCCATCAAATCAATTCATACACTAAACGATCTGCAGATGTATCATCAACATCTCACAATGTGGAAATGATATCCTCGGCTGATAGCAAGTAGCCGAATCAGCTTGACAAGAGTAAACTTAATTCCCCGCACTCCCCGCATGCAGAACTCCAAGTCCCGAGTTGTGCCATTTATGCTTGTCTCGGGGGGTTTTCCATGGATAGTTCTCTTCGCGGAGTGTATCTGTGTAAGCGTCCACATCCGAGGTACTGACAAAGCTCAGAGCTCTGCATTGCCGGTGACTGACTCGTGCGGGGTTCTTGTACTCGAGATAAATGCTCTGCCATGAGTTTGTAATGACGCACCAGACCTCAATTGAACTCTTCAATTGCTACGATGGCTCCAGACGTAGGAAGACACGTAGGGAATGAGAGCTTTACCCGCTCGACGGCGGTCATCATCGGAGCTGGTATCTCGGGTCTGTACATACTACGCTTTTCTACGTACTGCAAGTGCGGCTGTTGACATAAGGCCAGGATTATGCACGGCCATTGACCTCATCAAACGGAGCAAATGCCACAGTTTTATCATCCTGGAGAAGAGCAGCGGGGTGGGAGGGACATGGAACGATAACCGCTACCCGGGATCATGCTGCGACGTCTGGAGTTCTCTGTACAGTTACTCGTTTGAGCAGAAGGCAGACTGGACCAGGGAATATCCAGGTCAAGAGGAGATCTTGGTACTACTGTCGCCTGACGAATGAGGTCTAAGCTGACCGTTACAGGGTTATCTGATTGGCGTCGCTCAAAAATACGGCCTGTACAAGCACATCCGGTTCAACTCGGCCGTGGAGGAAGCACGATGGGACGAAGCCGACCTCAAGTGGAAGGTTAGAGTCCGTGTCTCCGGAGAAAAGGATAGCCAGTACCTGGAGTCATATGAAATCACCACCGACTTTCTTGTTTCAGCTGTCGGACAGCTGAACCTCCCACGCATGCCTGGTATCCCCGGACTGGAAGACTATAAGGGCAAACTGATGCATTCCGCCCGGTGGGACTGGAGCTACGACTGGACGGGGAAGAGAATCGCCGTTATCGGAAATGGTGAGTCTCGCTACACTGCTGAGGCAATAGTAAGTAATGGTGATAGGCGCAACCGCCGCCCAAATCATCCCCGAAATCGCCAAAACCGCCTCGCATGTCTCCGTCTACCAGCGCACCCCAAACTGGGTCATGCCGCGTCTCGACAAACCTGTGGGTGCGGTGCAAAGAGCTCTGCTGACATATATCCCGCCCATCCGGTGGCGGAAGCGCGCGCTCATGATGGACTTCCGGGAGTGGTTTTTCGATGCCGTCGTTGATAGGAATTCAGCGCTGTCGGATGTGATCCGCAAGACGTGTCTTGATACCATGCGAGCGCAGTTGCCCGACAGGCCGGATTTGTGGGATGTGTTGACGCCGAATTACTCTCCCGGATGTAAACGGGTGATCATCTCGGACGATTATTACCCTACATTAAGACAGGAGCATGTAGCCCTAGAAACTCGTCCCATCCAGCGGATTACGGAAACGGGGATCGAGACTGCCGACGGTGAGACGAAGGAGTTTGATCTCATTGTTGCGGCGACGGGGTTCAGAACCGTCGAGTTCATGTATCCCATCCGCATTAAGGGGGCGAATGGTCGGTGTCTGTCGGATATCTGGAAGGAGGGGGCGATGGCGTACTACGGCGTGACGGTGGAGGATTTGCCTAATTTCGCCATGTTATATGGGCCAAATACAAACCTTGGTTAGTTACTTCTCTTGAAGGTGGAGGAGATATGCTGACGGCTCAGGTCATAACTCGATTATCTTGATGATCGAGGCTCAATCGAGGTATATCAGCGCGCTCGTCAGCCAGATACTCCAGGCGCAGAGGGACGGCAGGAGCCTGGCAGTACGACCTAAGCCTGAAGCTGTTAAGAAGTTCAACGAGGATATTCAGGCGGCCCTGAGAAGAAGCTCTTTTGCCGACCCCAACTGCAGCAGTTGGTACAAGACCGAGGATGGACGCATTACGAATAACTGGCATAGTACGGTCGTTGACTACCAGAACGAGCTGTCTAGCGTCCGGTGGAATGATTATATCGCCGAAGGAACAGGCAAGTCTTTGATTGCAAAGAAGAGGGAAATGCACATTGGACGGGTGAGAGAGGAGACGTTGATCAGCAACACCTCGCTTCTCTGGGGTGCGGCCAGTGTGGCTGTGGCATTGGGAGGATACTATCTCAAGGGGAGTGCTTTGGTCAGAGGAAACCGAGTGAGATGATGCAGTACTTGCGGAGCATGGTAGTACGACGGAACCGTCATGGTAGGACTTGTGCAAGATTCCCCAGTTCTGCTTGGGATTCCTGGTCTTTGCTCGGGATCTGAAGATAATAAGCATACACCGAGGGTGAATCGTGTCAGACAAGGCGCGTCACTAATCATGATTACTGTATCTATGCAGGTCAGATCCATATTGCTGACCTGCTCATTCTACTATTCATTCGAATCGTATGATTTTGGACCATATACAGATCCCGAGAAAGAAGATACATACTGCCATTGTGTTACTCCGGAGCAATATGCAAAGACCGACGAGTTATCATCCGGATGGACTGATGTGACCATGTGGCTTCAAGGACAACATGGTAAAGTCCAACATATATAAAGGTCTCGAGACTGACTCTCTTTCACTTTCAAATCAATCCACAAGACCAAAGTAAATATCCACTCAGACTCATATACTTCGCACCATGGCACCCATCTTGAAGAAGTACAAGGCCGCAGCAGTGAACGCTGAGCCTGGCTGGTTCGACCTCGAGGAGTCCGTCCGCCGTACCATCCACTGGATTGACGAAGCCGGCAAAGCGGGCTGCAAATTCATCGCGTTCCCTGAACTATGTAAGTAACCCCTTCGTGTTCCTCAGCTGTACTGAATACCGACTCTACAGGGATCCCTGGCTACCCCTATTGGGCCTGGAAGGTCAATTACCAGGAAAGCCTGCCTCTGCTCAAGAAGTACAGGGAGAACAGCCTCCCCTCGGATTCGGAGGAGATGCGCCGCATCCGCAACGCCGCTCGCACCAACAAGATCTACGTCTCGCTGGGCTACTCCGAGGTCGACCTTGCAAGTATGTACACGACGCAGGTCCTGATCTCTCCCTCCGGCGATATCCTCAACCACCGCCGCAAGATCCGGGCCACCCACGTCGAGCGCTTGGTCTTTGGCGACGGTACCGGCGACACGACCGAGTCGGTGACGCAGACGGAGATCGGCCGCGTGGGTCACCTGAACTGCTGGGAGAACATGAACCCGTTCATGAAGGCGTATGCGGCCTCGCTGGGCGAACAGGTGCATGTCGCCGCTTGGCCGCTCTACCCGGGCAAGGAGACGCTCAAGTACCCGGATCCGTTTACCAATGTGGCCGAGGCGAATGCGGACGTATGGCACTCTTCTACTTGGTACCTTCCATTCTGAACTAACAGCTGCCCAGCTGGTCACGCCCGCGTATGCCATCGAAACGGGCACTTTCACTCTGGCCCCATGGCAGACCATCACCGCCGAGGGAATCAAGCTCAACACGCCCCCGGGTAAGGAGCTGGAGGATCCTCATATCTACAACGGCCATGGTCGGATCTTTGGTCCAGACGGACAGAATCTCGTCGCGCATCCGGACAAGGATTTTCAAGGTCTTCTTTTTGTTGACGTAAGCATAGCAGTCCGTGGTGTGTTTCTAGGAACTAACTTGATAGATTGATCTGGACGAATGCCATCTCCCAAAGGCACTGGCTGATTTTGTGAGTCTGACGCTGCACAAATGAGCGAAGCTAATGCATCCCAGGGAGGTCACTACATGCGTCCGGACTTGATTCGTCTGCTGGTCGACACCAATCGGAAGGACCTGGTCGTTCATGAAGACCGTGTGAACGGGGGAGTTGCGTATACTCGTACGGTGGACCGGGTTGGACTGTCGGCGCCTTTGGAGGCCGTGAGCCAGGAAACTGAGGATGAGAAGTGAACATTGCTGTCTGTTGAGACTCTCCTCTCTGTTTTCTTATTCGCTCCTTGAACCTTTTGAATAGCTGTCAATAGTGATGAGGCTGGCATCGGAAGTCTGCATTTTCTACCTATGATAAGCCGAGGTTATAGTTGCAGATTCTGAATCAGTATTAGAAGAAAATTCTTATCAATTCTCAAACCAGATGAGATTATAATTCCTCCACAGATCATACGATCTCAGCTTATCAATATTACTCCAATATGCGGCCGTAAGGGTTCTGCTCGGTGTCTGCTCGGTGTCTGCTCGGGGATTGCACACGGGATCTCTTCAAATTTTGCCTCGAGCAAACACCACCCAGCAATTCAAACGGCATCTGCTCTTCTCCTGTAATGATTATTGAGAGTCACTATGACCACTCCCATATGCCGAACATCTCGCCGTCCACCGGTCAAGCTTGCTTGTCTGGCCTGGTAATCCACCTAACCACCGGAGTAGAGCGACAGCTGATGACTTATAGTCGAGCATCACGGATCCGATGCGACGGGAAGGAAAAATGTGCGAACTGCATCTCCCGGGAGAGGACATGTTGCTATGTTCCCAGCAAGCGAGGGGGAGCGAGAGTTCCTCGCAACAAGCGCAAGAGCAGAAGCAGACCATCGTCGTCTTCGACCGTAGAGAAGGATGAGAGTCGGCAGGCGTCAACACCTAGTGCAGAGGGATCATGGAATTCAAACAATGAGGATGGTACATTTCCTGCGTCACTTGAGTTCTAAAGTCACTAACAGACCAGACCTTCTCGATCATTTTCTGAGTCTAGCGAGACCTGGTGCTGGACTACGCAGCATCGAAAGCTCGGTGGCCGAAATGGAACACATCTTTGACCATATCTTCGGGGTTGAGAACGAGAATCCCCTTTTCCCTGAAAGTGATGAGTCTGTCTCGGATCTGCTGCAGGTATACGGTAGCGACAAGGACATGTACGCAACCTCCATATCCGTCGCGACAGCCTACTGACTAGTCAGACTCGATGCATACTACGTTTTCATCCATCTCTACTATCCCCTCCTACCTCCTCCGGAAAGGCTCCCGGCTTGCAATCGTCCACTGAATGGACATCCGACATTCCGACCGTCCAGTCCGCTAAGCCTGGCCATCTCTGCCATTCTCGTTCTCATTCCCCACCCCGGAATCAAGCAACCATCGTCGCCGGAGTATACGCGACTTCGACGGAACGTGGCCCACAGTTTTGCGCAGTCGGCTCTAGAAGCAGTAGAGGCCGATCTGGAGTTACTAGACTCCTCGTCTGACCCGTCCAGAGCGCTTAGCGACGGGGCCCCAATGATATCCCGGCAGCCCTTCCATCCGAAAGTGCCAGTGCCACTCGAGGCTGTTCTGGCACTTGTACTCTTGAGTGTCTATGAATATGCCCAACGGGGTAATATCAGGAAGATGTGCAACCGCGCGGGACAGGCCTTGACAGCTGCGATGAGCATGTCACTGCATGAGATGGTCGAGGACGACGAGTACGCCGAGGCGCGTCGCAGAGCTTGGTGGATAACTGTTTGTGGCCGTCTTTGAAGTATATGATCCTAGTTAACGATCGTAGTATTTGACCGTCTGTCAAGGCTCGATAGCTAGCGGGATGGTAGGTTATCCTGATTCTTCCGAGGTTCAAGCTCTGATCTTCATAGCCGGCTGCATTCAATTTGTACGACCCGCGCTTTGTGACGCCGTATCCCGAGGTGGGAACTTCTTCCTGATCATATATCATATGATGAAGATAGGTTAACTCGCTTATTGACGGCAGGGATGGAAACTCCTCATTGAGGCACAGCAGACAATCCTCGAGGCCACCACGTTCGTCCACGATCTCGACCAGACCGTCAAATCTCGGTTCAAAGCATCCTGGATCTCGAGTCGAATGACAGAACTAGACGATCAAATCACGACCCTTCTTCTCTGCAGACGGTCCTCCGTATCCACGACGGTCTCCCCCTTGGACTCACCGGAGAAGATAGCCTCACAGACCATCAACCAGATTGCGAAGATCAAGCTACACAGGTACGCTACTGAGCTTTCTTCGACTCTGTTGCTGATCATCTTAGCGCTCGCATCAAAGTCCACCGATTCTGCGCCTTTCTGGACGTCCCCGTCTTCCGCAAACGCCACTGTGATCTCCAAGCCGAATGCTGTGGCGTTGAGCCCGCAGAATCCGCCATCCCGGAAGATATTCCCCTTCCTTCAATCATGAGAGCTGACCTCCCCGATCTCACGTTTCCATCCTCCTCGCATGAATCGTCCAAAATATGTCTTCAGTCTGCGCTAAACATCGTCACCCTTGTCGATAACCTCCCCTACCCGAACCCAGACCATACCATACCCTTGACCCTACCTCCGTATCTGTCACATGCCTCCCGTGTAGAAATACCCCGAGTGATGCCAACCTTCGCCTGCTGCGTAATGCAGGCAAGCTATGCGATGCTGATGCTGTATCTCAAGGCGCGGGCAAAACATGCCAATAGCCCCGAGGACTCGGTGTCTGTCAAAGGCCTGTCGCTCACGGGGTTTCTGAATGAGTTGCAGCAGAACCTCCGGCTTGTTTCGAAGATTCTGGCCAATTTTGCGATTGCTGCTGAGGCGTTGCAGGGTATGAAGGGTGAGTTTTTGTTCTTCGTTTCTGCCATGTTGTTTGCTGACCAGGTTAGAGGAGGTATCGCATTGGGCTTTCTTGGAGGGTTGATCGGGTCTATAGTATAGTGCTCTGTAGTATCCATGAATCCTCTCTTAACTTGTAGACATAACCGGATTGCTCCACTCAGTTGTGATCTTCTCTGAAAGTGATAAGAGCCAGAGCTCTCTAGATTCGAAAAGGAAACCCTATATAATAGTGATTTCTGGAATATGCCTCAAAAAAGGTGATGTGACTTAATTCTGTGAATATCCTACATTCACTCTTCTTTACTCGCGGTTTTTACTTGTGAGTATCACCAGCCTTTCACTTCCTCCTCTCTCATCTCATCGCCCTCTTACTATTCTCATCTTCTCCCCACCAACACTGAGAACGTCTTCCTCATATTAAGCAAAACAGCTCGAGGAAAGAACCGACAGAACTTCATACCAAAAGTATGGCAGCACGGCACCGCTCCGCTTCACCCTGTCTCAGCAGACCTCGCGCAATCATCAGCCGCATGGACCGGCTGAATAGCGTAATCAAAGAAAAATACGCACATTTTAAAAATGAGACTTACGAACTGAGGCAGTAAGTCGCCTCCTTTGGCATGTAGTGCAACAAACAAAGACTGACATCGGCTTCTAGTGTCGAGGGTCTGGTGATAGTGGTTGGCAATCCTCTCTCGCGGCCTCTCCTTTGAGATATCTTCAGTGTTTACTTTGGAGCTGAATCTCTTATTGATTCCGGTTATGGCACAATCTTCTAGTCCGATTGCGACTGTATTGGAAGTGGTTCATCTACCTTCGTGTTGATCTCTTTGGATCAGCGTACGGAGAGGAAACGGCCCTGTATTTAGCCAGATTCTCATGAAGCTATGCTGATGCATTCTCAGTCACTCTGATACAGTACTCTGCAAATCTGTATGCATAAAAATATGATATGTGAGTTTAATCTGAAAAGTGAGGTGAGCTGCAATTCACCATCCCATAGTCCAATCAACAGCATATTGACAGAAGTCTCAGAGGTTATCATCACGACGAACACTATATTGCAGATATACCGTATCAATCCTTCTCATGTCAGTAAATTACATTGCCATAAGATGTATAAGGAATCATACCATCGCCCCTGTTTATATCCCACATTCTTCAGTCGCCCTCGTTCCACAAACCCACGTTGTTCATACCACCTTCGCAAACCCTCGCCATCCTCCTTCCCGGTAGTGTCAACCGACATACAGGCGATGATACTGCGCACTCGCCCCTCATCTTCTGGAATGATCTGTACGTGTGTTTCGTACTCCTTATGTTCGCAGGCACGGTGCCATACTCCCGCTTCCGACTCGACAGACTCCAGGATGGACGAGAGTAGACGGCTCCCCACACCTTTCGATGTATATTCTGGGTGAACGTACAGGGATACCTCGACGGTCGGCGCGTAGGCCATCCGTGTTCCATTAAACGGGGCGAGGTAGCCGTACCCTAGGACTTTGCCGGTTGTGTCGATTGCAACGCGATAGGGTAATCTGCGGGACTGGATGTCTCGGAAAGAGGAGATAAGGGATTCCAGGGGAGGAGGATGTCGGAGGAATGTGGCGACTGACTCGCACACATAGAAGCTGTAGATGGTGTGGATTTGGGAGATGTCATCCTGAGTGGCTTCTCTGATGTGGATGGACATTGTTATTGTACCTTACTTTCTTGATGTTAGGATGGTAAGGGAAACATGATGCTATGGATTAGACCTGGGCGATGATATGAGTCATTGGCTGCAGGTGTCGGGCTCGTGTTGTTCCATTTAGCTTAATAATGGTTGTTTATATGACACAACTTATCATGCGTCTCGTTTATAGCCCGCTTCTTTCTCGCTCTGTTATTTGAATAGCATCGAAGTCGTAGAATATATACTCGTATACATTAATTCTAGCCGCATATGTTGCATACATCACCTATTATACACCCTCTCTGCTTCTCTCCCTATCTTCAACCCATTCAGCTATATCGCATCGAGAATTCTATTTGTCACTCCTATCCCGAGAAGCTTCAGCTGTGGATCTCTCGACCGGTGCTTCGGTGGCGGATGTTGTATAGTCTCCCAGACCAAGGCCAGGTGATTTGTAGTCATAGTCGTACCACCAGCCGATGTCATTGATGCCGGATGCATAGTATTCCTTTCTCATGGGTGTGTTTTTGTTTCTGTTGTTGAGCTGTCTGGTTCCCCGGACACCGTAGTTGGTAGATGCTTGGGCGTCGTAGGTGCCATACGTACTGTCGCTGTCTATGGGTTCGCTCATGTTAGGTTCAGGAATTCAATATGCTTGCTTTGTACAGTTTTTGATATATTTAGTGAGTACTTGACAAAAACACAGGGTATTTGCAGCGCATTTTATATTGTGGCAGTGGCAATAGCTATAGGATGATATACTCCTGATGTCACCACAGCCGAATTCATCTCAGTTTACGATATTAACTCAGAGTTTATCTGATCAGAGTTGTCATCTGTTTATTAATTGTTTCTAATATGGAACAGGACAGCGGAGCTAGTAAATGAGTTTAATATGAGAGATCGTTTCCAACTGATGTACATTATGCTAAAGTTACCGCTGAGAGGATATATATATATATTCAGCGGCCATAAGGTCACATGAACTCATCCATATCATTCTCATATATTAAACTCGCCTGTAGTTTCACTATGATATATTCAATGACAATAACTACAGCCAGTACTTTACTGTAGATCTGAATGTTGAGTCACAGAATATACATCAGACGCTGGCCTCGCCATGAATTTGACCACTTTCAATGCTTACAACTGAACTTCGAAGCTTGCGGATAATCAATCTATCGCTCATGTCTGACAATCACAATCGGGAAAGGAAGATCACTTGCCCTAGATTCTAGAATAATATGGAGACCCAGATAATCAGCCCAGTCGGCCAAGGGGTGGACAATCTACCCCGGGAACGTCCACAATGATCAACGGAGGCTCAAAGAATCAGAACTTTCAATAATAACAACAATACAATAGCAGATCTGGCATCGATAATCCCTTCCCACAGCGTATGTAGTCTGGGATATTCGACTGTACCTTATGTAAGGGGGTGAATGTAGGGGGTTTGCCGGCGCTGCTCGCAATAACATCGTGATTGACAGTCTGTTTTCGGACATTGCCTTGGAAACGGGAAGTATGTGTCATATTATTGAATTGATCATAAAAAGATGGATCAGCTTGAGCAGACTGTGCCGGTTATCTCTTGTTTCTGTCTTCACTTCATTCATACACGACAACATGATATGGTATCAATCAGCTTCCTTGCTGGGTGTCGCTGCGATCGCCCAAGCAGCCACGGTGCACTATTCCCTCGACTTGACATGGGAAACTGGCAGTCCAAATGGTGTCAGCCGGGAGATGATCTTTGTCAACGGTCAGTTTCCCGGACCAGCGATCATTCTCGACGAGGGCGACGAGGCGATTGTAAGTATATGGCAGCATTGCAGCATATAAAAGATCGGTATACTGATTTGGTAGATTGATGTCACCAACCACTTGCCATTCAACACATCCATTCACTTTCACGGCATCGAGTAAGTACCTCGCTGCCAGGGGATGATATGTCTGACGTGGTATAGACAGAGAAATACCCCGTGGGCCGACGGAGTTGCTGGTCTCTCGCAATGGGCCATTCAGCCCGGCCAATCCTACACCTACCAGTGGCGAGCAGATACTTATGGGACTTATTGGTAAGCTTGTTTCTCTAAGCGTATTATAAAGCTAACGTCTCAGGTACCATGCTCATGACAAGGCTGAAATTATGGACGGACTATATGGACCGGTTCATATCAGGTGAGATCTCAACACAAGGCAAGACGAGACTCATCCTAACGAGAGATAGACCTCGTCCTAACAGAGATTCCCCATTTTCAATGATCTCCAACGATCCGGCCGATATCCAGGCCATGAAGCAAGCCGAGCGCAACGGCAAACTTGTCATGCTGTCAGACTGGGATCATCTGACAGGCAAAGAGTACATGAAGGCAATGGAGGAGACCGGATACGATATCTTGTGCGTCTGATAAGCCTTTTCCCACTGGATACAAACTGACCATATCAGCTGCTCCGATAGCGTCCTCATCAACGGCCGCGGCTCGGTGTTCTGCCACGACCCCGAGGAAATGACCAAGATGGTTCCGCCACCGGAACTGGCCATCATCAACGGCTCGTTGACTGATAAGGGGTGGGTCAATCCATGCATATTGCAGATCCGATATAATGCTGACTGAAAAGATGCCTGCCATTTGTTCTCCCCATTCAAGGCGACTGGCAACATCACCCTGACAAGGTCCCCCCCGGCCTGAATGAGGGCTGCCATCCCAGCACCACGCAGGAGACAATCTTCACTGTGGATGCCAGACACCAATGGGCAAGTTTCCACTTCATCAGTGCAGCCAGTCTCAAGGTGCTGGTCGTTTCCATCGACGAACACCCCATGTATGTGTACGAGGTGGACGGCCGGTATATCGAGCCGCAGCTGGCGCACAGTATGAAGCTATACAACGGCGAGCGGTACTCGGTCATGGTCAAGTTGGACAAGGAACCTGCCAACTACAAGATTCGCGCGGCCAACGACGGCGGCAATCAGATTGTCTCCGGTTTTGCGACAGTCACCTACGAGGGCGGCCAGACCAGCCAGCGCCCGTCTCAGCCGTACATCGACTATGGAAGCCGTAACACTACCGCCGATGTCATTCCGCTGAACACGAACAATCTGCCCCCGTACCCGGCCATCAGTCCTGCTTCCGAGCCGGATGACTTCCACATCCTGATGCTAGGCCGCACCAACTCCTCCTGGGAGTGGTCGCTGGACGGAGCGACCTTCCTGCCTGACAACCTTGCTGCGTCGCCGCCAGCCATTCTGAGTCCTGAAGCTCCCGAGTTTGCGGACGCGCTCAAGATCACGACCCGCAACGATACTTGGGTTGACATTGTCTTCCAGCTGGTTGTCGGCGAAATTACCCCAATCCAGCCTCCTCACCCTCTGCACAAGCATTCCAACAAAGGCTTCCTCCTGGGAACGGGCCAGGGCAAGTTCAACTGGACGTCGATCAAAGAAGCCAAGGAGGCGAGCCCGGAGAGTTTCTTGAAGACGCCTATCTACAGAGATACGTTTACTACCTCGCCGCATGGAGAGACGTGGACTGCTATCCGGTATCATGTCGAGAATCCGGGTCCGTTCCTGTTGCACTGCCATATGACGACTCATCTGCAGTCGGGAATGGGTCTGATTCTGATGGACGGAGTGGATGTGTGGCCCGAGGTGCATGCAAACATGGTCACTCCTATGTAATTGTCAGGAGCGGATACCCTTATGGATCTTCGGTACATAGATTCATTGCATAACATTTAATATTTGTTTACCTCATACGTCATTTATAGAGTCTGGGAATGAGATGAAGCTGGAATCGACTCGGATAGGTGTAATGTGGCGCATATATCGTTGTTGATCTCATACTGATCAGGGCATTCCGCATGCATCAAGGAACAATCAACAGGGGGATCGGACTCGTCCTATCCCTTCTTCCTACTCCGTACATGGTAGAACTATGAATCATTGGTTCCCGCATCCAAAGACTCCCAATGACTACTGCATTCGGATGTCCTGGCCCCTTGCATTCCTGGTCTAAGCCCCCTTGCATCGTACTATTCCGATCTCAGTGTTGGCACATAGTTGTTATTGTTTACTTTTCCGCGTTCATTGATCTCCGAATAACTTTATTAGCTTCGCCATATCGTCTCGATGGGTTCAGCAGAGTCTCACACGACCAGCCAGCGACATAGCCCGTAGTACACCATGTTCCATTCAAGGGCTCTCCTTCTCTCCTGGCTTGTGGGCTTCACCGCGGCCAAGGACATCCATCTCGATTGGAACATCACCTGGGTCTGGGCAGCCCCCGATGGCTTTGGCCGTCCCATGATCGGGATCAACAACGAGTGGCCCTGTCCGATTGTCAATGCCGACCTGGGCGATCGGCTCATTGTCGATGTGCACAATGGTCTGGGGAATCAGTCGACGGGAATCCACTGGCATGGCTTCCATCAATACATGACAGGAACTATGGATGGCTCGAACCAGGTGACGCAGTGTGCGATGCCTCCGGGAAGCAGCATGCGCTATGAATTCGATGTGAGTATATCGTCGCCAAAACGTGTATAATGTTTATACTCACGGCACAGGTCAATCAAACCGGTACTTATTGGTATCACTCGCACGAAATGGGCCAGTATCCCGACGGACTGCGGGGTCCGTTCATCGTCCGGGATCCCTCGCCGCCATTTGCCTACGACGACGAGTTTACCCTGACTCTGACCGACCATTACCACGAGCAAATGTCTGTTCTCCTGCAGGAGTACGAGGCCCAAAGCGTAGGCGCCCAGGCAGGCGTCAATGAACCCTTGCCAGCGGCAGCTCTGATTAACGAGGGTCTTGACAGCACCACTCTCCGTGTGGAGCCCAACAAGACATACCTCATCCACCTGGTTTGCGTGGGCAACTGGCCAGGCCACGTTATTGTCTTTGATGACCACGAGATCAGTGTCGTTGAGGTGGACGGCACCTGGGTGGACGCGTACCCTGCGAGAGACAAGAAGATTCGGCTGGCTACAGGCCAACGCATGAGCAT